TTTTAATTTCAAAAGGAAAATTACAAATGATTCACCGCTTGACGGCTCACTTGTTCTTCGTGATTGAAAACCAAATCAATAAATGTTTAAATAAATGACATTTTGTTAAAAAAAAAAGATCATGGAGTTTAAACAGAAAACAACGAAAAATTACTTCTGTGGTATTATATTTGAGAGAAAACAACGAGATGCCAGTTACCAATCATTACAGATGGGGATTTTACCATCTCTTGTCATGAACGATCGATTCCGAGAAGTGCAGGCGACTAACTTGACCAGCAATGGATTAAATATTACAAGAAAAGGGACAATATACAGATGGCAAACGTTTTTTTTTAATTTCTTATGTAACGATTAATGGGTTTTTCGTTTGAAAAGTGCGACAAAAATGTTTCATATATTAAAATTCGATTATGGGTTTTCGATTAGATACAAAATACTCGATTATTGCGCTAAAAGATTTCTAAAAGATTCTTAAGTTTAACCATAATAAATGAAAATTGATTTCTTTTATAGTTATCATTAGCCGCACTAATCGAGGGATTCCTATACTGGAATTAAGTAGGCAGAATATAACGATTGACATTGCATTATGTTCCACCCGGGGGCTTCTGTCTTGTTAGTTCTTGTTCTTAATATAATTGATTAAAACCGATTTCATACTTGGAAAGTAGAAAAATAATAAAAATGTTCTTACCCAATGCAGTGTTCGAACCTGGTGTGGTTGGCACTGGGATAGACAAAGGCTACAAATCCCATTTGTCTGATGTTTCTTAAGCGCTGGAATTCAGGTGTGTCCATTATTTTCACACAAATGGGACTTATTTCAATGTACCCATGAACGGCATCCTTCACGTATTTGCTCCCTGCGTCAGGCTGTAAAGTATTTAAAAGAAATGAACAGACAAACGTAAAGAAAAAGTGTAATATCCAATTACTATATAAAAAATATTTAACGAACTCATGAAATATTTATTTAAAAAAAGTTTTTACCAACTTTTTTTTATATAAAATTCGGAGAATTGAAAAGTTTATTGCTCTGTTTGACATTTTAACCAATGGAAATAAATTGCAGAAAATATGGAGCTATTTCTTAAGTATGTGACCCAGCACCGGTGAAAGGTTCTTGTGCCTCCACACCTGAGTCTATGATACGGGGACCCCACTCTATTACATCTCAATTTTCATAAGGTAGTATTCATATAAAATACAGATTTTATTGTAACCTAATTATGTACTATGATGGAGTATATGCAATATAGGTGAACAATTCAAGTAGAACAATTGAAAATAAGTATAATTTATCTAAATATAAATTAGAGACTTGTCATAATAGATCATTCCATCTTAAATGAATCAACAATGTTTTACGGCAATTCTTAACATCAGCTTCAGATTGTTCTTGTTAAAAAGTTAAATAATTTAACACGTTCAACATTGTCGATTAAAAAATAGTAAATTTAGCATTTGCAAAATACATTCGGATCCGAATAAACAAAAAAAGACGTATTTTTTTTTCATCTTTTGATAGTCAGTTGTGCATAGTTTAATTTATAACGTATACAAATGTAGATTAGAAAAAAATGTTATATAGATATAGAATGTAATGTTTAGAGGTACACCTCTAAATTTTTAAAAATAAAGTTGTGCATGTAAATAATTTTCTTTTAAGGTAGATCACAAATTTAAGGAGAATTATTCGTATAGATCACATACTTAAATAGCACCGAACATTTTATATTAAGATAGAATAGAAAATAAATTCACCATTTCCTTTCTTTAGCCAACTTTCTCAGATGATTATTCACAGGCGAATTCAGCTGTTAGCAGCGAAGCAGATGTCAGGAGAATGACGAAGCATTCAGCTGCAGTTGTATAGACTTCGCTTAAAGTGAAACTAACTCCATTTCTAGGAAATAGGATGTTTGGAAATTAACATAATTTAATCATCTGTCATTATTTTAGGTAGATTGCTGTTTTCATCAAATTCATACATTTCACCACTTTTATAGTTTTACCTTTAGGGCACGTCGAGGCGGTGTAATGGTCAGCAAGCTTGGTTCGCTAAAACAATTACGACTGAGTAGTGAGTTCGATCCTCACTGGGTGCCCCCTAATTTCGGCCTTGTGCCACATCTAAGCTACGCTTGGAAAATCACTATAGTTTCACCTCTAATAATTTATACTCCGATTATTGTCCTCGTCTTTATTGTTTTTAACAACGTTTCAGCCGTTGGGCCCTCCGGCCTTCCCTCAAGTGTATATCGATCTGGGTAACCTACAGGGAATTCTGAACCAAACCCTTTATTTAACCTACGGTTGTAGACTGTTCTTGTTCCACTGCTTATGTCCAGAGATATCTCGTCTAGTTCTTATTTAGTACTGTTCAGTTATTGCTTGACCGTTTCCACTGAGTGCAAGCACATACTGCCCGACTGAGGGGTTGCCTGTAGGTTACACTGAATTCCCTGTAGGTTACCTTGTTTGATATTTACTTGAGGGAGGACGGAGGGCCGAAACGTTGTGATAACAACAACAAAGATGGGGATAATAGTCCGAATATAATTAATGTAAATAATGATGACTCCTCATACCAGAAATTCAGATAGAAAGTTACCTTTAATTATTGAACGACATCTTTCCTTTTTATTTTAGCATTTAGCTCCCTCATGACGATAATAATTTCATGCGATTTAGATTTTTAATTGATATTCTCGCGTGTATTGTAAAAGCTACGTATTTATTGTTTGGTGCTTTTTGACATGTGTGCATATACGTCCATGCTAGCCGTATTGAAGGTTCCATTTTAATTTTCAATTGATGTACCAGTTGCTAGCTTACTAACATTCCTATAGTTTTTATCTAATATTAATCCGGCTCCTTTTTCATTTCTCTCTGCGACTGTATATATGTTTCTGTGATCGTCGCTTGTAAAATCCCCATTTATTTTGCATCTAATCCAATAGGAGTAGATAGGTTCGGCTATCGTCCGGTTCACACACTTCCCCGGTGTTTTGAAAAAGAGTAGAGGTTTATAACTTGTTTCCTGTTTAGAGTTGGATTTCCTGTCCCTTATAAAGTCTACTTCAATTCTATATTCTTAAAATCTGTGCCGGAACTCTGAAATGTTATTCACTAATCAAATCTTGATCTCTGCAAGTCAAGACTTAGTTGTTATCTATACTGCATAGCTCAAAGAACTTCAATTTTTATCCATTCTTACGCTCATCCAACACAATACGGTAACGCTCTACATTAAATGGCTCTTGGTCCTTGTATTGGATAAACATTAGTAAAAAAAAAAGCAAATAATAATCTCATTTTGACGTATATTCTCACATGTTACAAAAGTTGGAAGAATAAACGTACAGGTTTTACAATGCACGGAAAGTATCACAAATACAAAGGTCAGGAAATTTTCATCATCATGAGGGAAGTGATAGAGTAAAATGAAAAGAAAACAGTAAAATAGTTGGTAAATATGGAATTGACTTTTTGATTAAAGGTGCCTACCTGTGATGATTCTCAAAGTTAACTTAAAAGTCGAATCGCCAACGAAAATGACAACTTCGTTAATCAAAGATTAACGGATTAACAGTTTAGTGCCCAGCTCTGCTATTAGCATGGCTGATGCTAACCTCCAGGAGAGCAACACTTTGCGCCTTCTTGAACTCTCATTTCCCACTGACATAAAGTGAAGTGATTCTTTTGAATCAATCGTTAGGTATACTACTAGGACAGTTGGTTCACTGTGTCGAGCCAAACAATCATTTTCTCCAGAATCTATCATGCAGATTTATAAATCCACTATTCGTCTTGCATTGGATTCTGCTACCATATCTGGTCTGTTACTCCGCTTATATATGTCGAGATTCTTGACAAAATCCATTTAACCACCACAGAAAACATTTTTAGGTATGCCAATGGCCAGAGCTGGGCATCAAACCGTTAATGCGTTAATCGCTTTAATTAACGAATTTTCGCCCAAAATTCAGCCCCCACTTTGAATGTCATCATGGCATCCCAAGAACTCGAATAATTTGATGTCGTCGAAGTTAAAATTATTAAAATACAACGTCAATCGTCATCTTCTATCTCCCTGAAACCTGTTCCTTTGTTGCAGTTTCTCCTCATTAAAGTCTTCTAATTTTATTCCACTCCCAGTAAACCTTTGCGTCTTAGTGACATTATTGCCTTGCTTGGAGGAGAATGATTTTTAAATACAACTAAAAGGTGTCAGGAACTCAATGCTGAAATGTTTATAGGATGCACAAGTGAAAACAACACAAAAAAGCACCACAAGGGGAAAGAGAGAAGATTGTTGGTCATTTAGTGGTATGTCAGCATCTATGGGTCATTTAATGCTGAAATCTAAATATTTTGTACGCAATTTTATTTCATTTTTGGAGATAATAACGGTTTTAGTGGTGCAAGTTTTACTAATTAACCAAATAACAGGGAGAAGAGGTGGATTCATACTTTCCCCAAGGGTATTTGCACATAACGAACCCAACTGGAATTGGAACTCGGCTCTCTGATTAACAATTCCGAGCCACTATCCATTACACCACCTGCAAATCCAAGCTTACAGCACTTGGTATTAACAAGCGGTCACTCATCTAGGTACTGAACAAGATCAACGTTGCTTAACTTTGGTGATTGTAAGGGGAACAGGTGATGAAGAAGAAAATGATAAAAAAAAACAAATGGATGACATATTAAATCCTGTACCTATGATAATGTTTACAGCAGTTGTTCCGAGAAAAGACAATCGATATGATTGAAAAGAAGTCCTTATTTGTGCATCAATTTTTGTCTACGTCAGAGTAGTAATGTTGTACTAGAAATTATGTAAGATTCTTAGAAATGGAGTTAGTTTCACTTTATAGAAAGTATATAAAACTACACTTGAAGACATTTTCATTGTCTTCGTTGCTTTTAAACTGTTCACATATTGTCCTTTTGCGAAAAAATCAATTTAGAAAATCGACTAAAAAAAAATGGTAAGATTTCTTTTGTATTTTGCTATAAATTTGTCTTCGTATTAATCCAGTGTTTTCTCTCAACTGGCTAACATTTAATTTTTAAATTTTATTTTTTATGAATATTTCCTGCTGTCGATAAACAAATAACGTTAAAGGCTCAAATTCTACTTTACGTTTCGTTTTCTTTTCTTTTCTTGAAAATATTCTCCAGGATGACAAATACGCCAAATACGTGAAGGATGCCGTTCATGGGTACATTAAAATCAGTCGCATTTCTGTGAAAATAATCGACACACCTGAATTCCAGCGCTTGAGAAATATTAGGCAGATGGGATTTGTTTATTTTGTGTATCCCAGTGCAAACCACACCAGGTTCGAACACAGTATTGGGTAAGAACATTTTTTTATTTATCTATTGTCTACTTTTCAAATATAAGAAAAGTTTTAATCTCATAAGAACATTCCGTTGCGCATTGGTTAGCAAAACAATTTAAGAGAAGAATAATAAATTTGTATTTAATTCGTGGTGACCTTTTGCCAATTTCGGCTACGTCTAATAAATATTCGTTCCAATATATGTCTCCCTTATCAAGGATAATAAAACTAGAAAACAATTATTTGATATAATCCAACGATAAGGTAAAATTCTTCAAGTATTATACCACAGAAGTAATTCTTCGTATTTCTCTGGGGTTATAAACTTCAAGAACATTATCTAATAGTTCATAAATATCACTTTTTTGTCTAACTTCACAAAAGTAGGCAGCTGGAGAATCCAACGGGAAATACCTTTAAAAGATTTTAACAAAATGTCATTTATTTAAACATTTAGTTACATAAGCGTTTGCCACTCGCGACTGCCTTTCCCTAATTGTAATGCTTGATAGTAGTCGCCTGCACTTGGAATCGATCGTTCACGACGATGGTAATGATAGAGTAACAGTTGTTTGTGTCCATTTGTTCGTTTTCCTACTTTTTTTTTTCAATTATTGATTTGGTAATCACGAAGGACAAGTGAGCCGCCAAGCGGTGAATCATTTGTAATTTTTCTTTTGAAATTAAAACTGGCAAAATGTTGCAATGGCCAGTCGAAGCTTTGATGCAACCGATTACGAGACAAGCAGACGTAGAATCAACGGTGTCCATAAGCAAACTGTAGTGAAAGCCAGAAAAATTCACTCCGGCTAGAGAAACGTCCGGCTCCAGACAGCAGATTATCTTTCAACAAACCATAATCTGTATTATGCCAAGCAACATTACATCGCTGTTGCGATGACATTTCTAAGCCAATCAAATTAAAGCATGTAATTATTAAGAACCAATTATATGCTTAAAATGATAATGAAACTGAATCTTCAACTGTAAACACTTTCTACGATATTGATCACGCGAAAAAGTATAATAATAGCTTTAAAAACGCCGGAAATGATCATAGACTTTCCACGTTCCTAGTTACATGCTCCTTATAAGATAGACAGCCGTAGGCTCAGTTAGACTAAAGCACAACACATTTCTAAATACTGCCCATGGAATATTTAGCATTTGTTACATGCCATTTTAAATATGAACGATATTTATCTAAAATTAGAATTTAGTAATTAAGACAGTATTTCTGGAAACATTTTCTTTCTCGTCGTAATGTTTTTTTAACGTCAACAAATAATGTACTAAGTGCAATACAAACACTTACTAATAAATAAATCCGGGTTAATAAATCGAAAAGATATAGACTACGGAAAAAATATTGACAAATCCGGACATCTATCAGAGAGATAAAATTTAAATTTTTATTATTGCATTATTTCAAAATTTTAAGACATCAACAGATAGCTCTTAATGTCAAAAACTGGGCACAAATAGCAATTAATTTAAAGTATATTTAATCACATCTCCCTAATAGCTGTCGTGATCTGTGAATTTACAACACATTATAGTACCTACCTGTGTAAATTATTATTTTACATCTCAATATGGTATCCTCGGCAAATTCTTTCTCGGTTTTTCATTGATTTTTTTTTTAAAACTTTTTTCCATTTTACTTGACTTACAGTAGTTTTAGTGCTACTCAGAATACTTTTTCATTTGGGCATAGATTTAACTTATCTACATCTCTTTTCATGATAGAATATTTTTGTAACGTTTTTTTGAAGCCAGCATTTCTTGGACATATCCTGTCATTTTCTTTTTCATTTTTTTTTTTTTTTTTTTTTTTTTTTTTGGTGGTGGGAATTGTTCTGCGATTTCTGAAAAACATTTTGGTAATTTCCAACAGTTGACACCGATTATCAGAAATAAGACAGGTAGTTAATGTGAGAGTAACATGGGACGAGTAGATCATAGCAGCAGCCTTAAGAACAGCCCAACAAATTTATGCATCACTTTTAAAAGAGTGGGAGAACAAATAAACAGACACATCAATCTGTTGCTATGCCATCGTCATTGTTATGAGCAAACGAACTGCTGCTTAGTACTTGTCGCTGACATGCATTAGAATTAAAAAAAAAGGAAGAATCTGGTTCGAAACACCGATGTAACCAATAGTGATATCCACGGTAAAAGTACTGGGTGCTCCATACTTTCAGCCTTGTGCCACATCTAAGCTACGCTTAGAATGTCATTTAGGCATACCGACGTGGAGTAATGGTTAGCAATCTTGTCTCGCTACCTCAATTACCATTAAGTAGTGACTTTGATCCTCACTCGGTGCTCCATACTTTAGTGCCTTGTGCCACATCTAAGCTTTGATTACAGAACTCATTCCTTTAGCAATATGTGAAGATATGCATGTTTATACTTAGTTTTATTACACAGGATATGTCTTGATATTTAGATATATAGATTTATTAATATATATATATTGATATTTGCAATGTTATTAGTCCTGACCTGACATCTCGGCTTCAGTGACTTTCTCACCACCTTAACATAGCTTCCCTGTGACTTTTCTACAAATACTGTCATGTTGATTGTTCTGATGCATCTTTTCCTATGGTACATTGACTTTATGAATTTAAGCGTAGATTGGCGGCAAGATCTCATCACTGATTCGATACATCGATCTAACCAATAGTTAATATAACCTAATATAAGTAATGAATTATTTTCCATTCTACTACTCCTTTCTCCATAGACTAAAAGTGGCAACCCTCTCGCGGTAAATCTTCTGACGAGCTACCTTCATTAATTCCCTGAGTACAGACTTATACGGCTACAATCCACCATAACAATTATACCGAGTAGCCTGTGTCTTCCATTCTCATATACATTTCTTTAGATGGTAGGATATTTTGTAAGGTTATTAAAGTCAGCCTTTCGTTGACTTAATCAGTCAATTTTTGTTCTTTCTTTCTTTTTTTATTTATTTATTTTTTTTTGGTGTGTGTGGGGGGTATTTTTTATGGGATCTCTGGGAAGCGATTTGGTAATTTTCAAATGTTTACACCCACCACGCAATAACTTTACCCTACTTTTTTCGTACAATGCTACTGTTTATATAGTTATTTTCTTAGCGCAGCTTAGATGTGGCACAAGGCCAAAAGTATGAGGCACCTAGTGAGGATCACTAGTCAGTCGTAATTGATCTAGCAAGACGAGCGTCCTAACCATTACACCACGTTGAATTGTGCCATTGTTTTTCTCAAATTAGACGTCTCAGAAAAATTAAACTGATTTCGAAGGAAAAATTACCACAATAAAGACAAATACCTATTTGCAAAAATATACTATTTATACGAAACTATTGCAAAAAACTTGTTGGCATTAAGTAACCCATTAAGGTTGATATACCGTAAAACAAAATAAACCAAACCTTGTGTCTGTTATTACAGGTGGTAAAATACTACTTCAAGTAATTATTATTTTTTAAGCTTATTAATTTTTTTTGTATTAACTTTTATTGTTTTAGAAGTAGTTTGTAAAATTTAGTTAAAATTCTTTTCAATAGCAGCTGTGATAGAGTTGATACGTAAAATAATATATTTTTATTAATTGGCTTTGCCAGAATGGTCCATTCTTCTGTTCTTAAATATTTAAATAAACCTTTTGTTCCGCGTTGAATATGAAATAATTAGGGTATCGGTGGGGCTTAAAGGTATATTCAATGTATTTCTCTTCTTCATGTAAATACTGAGGTCTACAAATTCTGAGTGCTCTTAAATAGAGTTCGATAATTATTTAGGATTTTATTTTGTTGCTATGGCAAAAATGGGAATTTATTAGTTGATTTACAATGGGCACTTAGTTTCAGGTCATTGTGTCTAGGAAATTTAAAGTGCTAATTCTATCTGTTTCATAAGTGAATTTTATCGAATGTTCGATTTTCTTTAGTCAGGTAATGTAGTTTTGCTGAGATGTATTAGTAGATCGTTATCAGTGTATCCGAAATATGTAAATTATTTAGATAAAATATTCTGTAAAGGACCAGATTAAAAAGAAATTATAAGAAAATACACGCGAAAACCAAACTCAGAGGTGCACCGATTAATAACGCAAACTTTTGTTTATAAAAATTATTTTTAAAGCTTAAATATCACTGATTGGTGATGAGTCGGCAATTTTTATGATGTTTGTCTATTAGTAGTGGGAATTTTATTTTCGATTGTGTTAGATACTTTTAAGAAAAGATTAAAGCATTTGTTAACAGGAACGTTGGTGTAAAAGATTAAAATTTCAGCGTCTTCTCTCCTTCATTATCTGTCTATATTTCTGAGATGAGGCATTATGTACGCTATTTACATTATTCACATTATTATCCTCATCTTTGTCGCCGTATTTATTACAACGTTTCGGACGTTGTACGCTCCGGCCTTCTTCGGGTGGCTGGAATGTCAAACTGATATAAAATAAAGGGTTCAGTTCGACATTGTAATAAATATGGCGACAAAGATGAGGACAATAGTCCGAATAATGTAGATAGTGTCTTTATTTTTTAACATGCCAATTTGTATATATCATTTTCTCATATATATATATATATATATATATATATATATATATATATATATATATATATATATGTGTGTGTGTTTTTGTGTGTGTTGATACGTGTGACTTTAAACGTTATTTTTGTAACATTATTTTTGGCAGTTTATTTATAAACAATAAAATTTTGTATATATCATATACATGTTGTGTGTGTCTTAAAATCTGTCGGTTTCGTGTATCCACTAAAAATACGTTTAAAAAATCTGTCGGTTTCATAAATAAAAATATACTTATATATATATATATATATATATATATATATATATATATATATATATATGACTGTACTGTTCATTCGCAGACAATACTGTTTCGAATTTGTATCACAGCTCCTCAGAGCGAACAGACATCCGAATACTTCAAGCCCGGATCGAAACCCAACCGATCATTTTCAGAGTTTCATTACCACTGGAGCTATCTTCATTCTACAGAGAGAAACAACTAAATTTAGCGTATTGAATAATTTTTACGTAACAAAATATAAACAATGAAAAAATGCCAATCAGCTGTTTTGTTCCAATTCATTTTACTGAAGGGTTGCATTGCATTAACGCAGGATTGGATGTTGTCGTTTATAGAATTTATATGGTCGGTACTTTATATATATATATATATATATATATATATATATAAAACAACAGACATTTTGTTTTCATTAATTTTACGGACTGAGTTTTCCAAATTACGAATAATCCTCAGACAATGAGAAAATACCGTCAGAAATCGTAGAACTAGTGAGTGTTGTGATGAAAGCAATGTGTGACATGTGCATGTGAGTTTTTTTTATATACATTTGAGGATAGGAGCTCTTAAATTATAATTGATTTTATTTATGGATGGTTGTTTTTGTTGAATAAGTATTGCTTGAAGGGTCATAAGTTTGTTTTTTACTATTTTATTTGCCTCGTAATTTGATATTGCTTGTGAGTAGCTGTGTAATGTTACTATGAACCTTATGCTACTTGCTAATGTGTTGTCTGTTGGCACTCTGGTCCGATAAGAAGCTGTACGTCTCTGTGAGAGCCTGGTTGGGGTATATCCTGGGTATATTTTTTTAAGTATATTCATACACAACGTAGGTCTTATATAGAAGGTTGGAAATTTGGGATATATTATTTGTAATAACAAAGTTGTTAGTTTTTAAATTTTTTGCAGTAAATAATGAATCTGATGTATTCATTTTTATCGACTAGTTTTATGCATCTATGTATTATGCTTTTTTTTTCCTTTTTGCTGTTTCGTCTTTTTTGTAATTGTGGCACCCAGTGAGGATGACTACTCAGTCGTAATTGATCTAGCAAGTCGAGCGTCCTAACCATTACACCACGTTGAATTGTGCCATTGTTTATATGTCTCAAATTAGACAGGTAGGGAATGCAACAGATACACATGAACAACGGACAGTATCGAAGCCTTAAAATCAAAAGAAAATCTTGTAATGTTGTAAGAAAGGCCTATGAGGGTGTCAAAAATATTATACACTTTGGCTGGAGGACCGCTAGGCTTCAAAGCCTATAGGTATATCCGGAACTGGATAAAGTCATTGACTCTTATGAACTTGCTGCCTTTATGTGTCGGCCAAAAAAGATCATTTTTTTCTTAATGTGTATTATGTATGTCTGTTTTATTTATCTAATGGCAAAATTATTAGAAGGATACAGTTTAGAGTGTCCCTTTCTCTTCGTTTACTTAGGGAGATAGCACAATATAGTAAGTTATAACTTTACATAATTTATTACAATGACTCTTCTATCATCCACAAGTTAGCTTTTTCGTTCAACACTCTACCTAGCGGCTAAACCCGTTTGCCGTCTTGTAAATAATTCCGTTCTACTTTAACAACTCAAGAGTTCCATCCATTCTCCTGTATGTAGAAGATTTCCTAACTTTTGTTAAACACCCTACAAAACAACTATGTAGTTATAAATCTATCCCTCCAGGGTTAAATTGTTAACCCTTCTCTCCATATCAGTATACCCTTGTCCTTCAGTAATTCACTTTGAAATGTGGGTAGATGTCAGCTCGACTTCGAACAGCCTTCGTAATCTCCTTTCTCCTAATGGGTCTTTTACTGGATGCCTGGGCCCCGCCTAGGCATCCTGACCAAAGAAATTCTGCTGTTTGATTCCTGGGTTAATGTTACGATTCCCCTTTGGGTGGTATTTCTTCCCAACTCTGGATTGGTTGCCTCTTCATTAAGAGTGCTGGAGTTAAACACTTCTCTGGGCTGGCGTTATCCACCTGATAGTTATGGATCTGGACCTTAGAATAACTCATAAAGAGGCTATCCAACCAGCAAATGCATAATAACAGGACTAATCTATTGCCATTTTGTTAATGGTATCTGAAGCGAGTAGCAGTTTCCGGTGGGGCCATGATGAAGTAGATACTTACAGGTGTTCTTTGTTGTGATTAATTCGGATAGATTTTTTCTACATATTCAACTTAGGGTGCTGGTGTTTCCTTACCTCGATTACTCACAACCCCATACGAAAGTAGTTAATAATGTCTATCGGTCAAAATATTGTTATTTTCATTTGAGCTCTTTCATTTTGTTTACCAGAGTTTCGTTCTTGGCGGGAGAAATGGCTCGCTATTTGTTGAAGACCTTCAGTGACAATGAAGAGGTAAAAGCGAGCTGGATCAAATGTGCTGAAGTTGCAGGCCTTTGTCATGATCTTGGTAAGTAAACAAAACAAATGACATATATTATGATTCGGTTTGTTTGTTGTTTTGTTTTGTTTTATTTTTTTTCTATAGCCAGTTTTGATATAGAATAAATAGCTTGATATTTGACTTTGAATGTTTTTGCTTCTTTATTTATTAGAATTAAGCACAACAAGTTTACGCTAAAAAATAAAGAATGTGGCGAACGCGAGTCAGTACAGACGCAAAAGAGGCCAAACTAGTTACATCCGGGTTTTCCTCGTTGACAGAGGGGCAGCTTGGCATGTCTAGATACAGGCGTCTCTGTAGCTTGTCCAGATCCGCTTCTTTGTCAGCTGTCTCATGCCATTAAAAACGACGGGAAAACCAGCGGTCACCAATGGGCTGTTGGCGAGACTCGACTCCTTGCAAAGTCGTTCCACTTGTACATTTTTGCTCCTAAAGTTGCTCACCGCCTGCCGCCTCCTTGTTTCTGAGGCAGTGTTTTTTTGATTCCTCACGTCTCATTCCCTTCTCTGTCTGTTACCCCATAGTTCTTGGGAGGGCAACCGGTTAGGTGTCCCCCCGCCCAACCTCAATACACCTTTGCCGTATTTTGCAACACAGAACAGTCTCAACACTTTTCCTCTAATATCAAACGCAATTTTTGATAATCCGTGAATATATTGTTCGTTTCTTTATCCCGTTATTATGGTAACAGGTGACATTATTTGAAGCCAATAACGGAAAAATCTCATTAGTAATTGGCAGCTTCCAATTTGACACAAGAAAGGAAAAAAGCCCGCCTTGGTCATGGCATTAGCCGACAGCCTTGATCACTTGGAGATAATCAGCTTCTTGAATGTTGACAGACGGATGTGACACTGAGACATTTGCTATAAAGATACTGACGATAATGCATCAGTTGTGTGAGATGGTTATAGGAGTCTTGAGCAACGGGGACCATGCTGCCGATCTTTTCTCAGGGTTAATGCCATTGTCGACTTCTAGGTGCTTGACTTCTTAGTCAAGTCTCTGGATCGAGTAGCAGAGTTGGTGGTTATATTTAGTTATTTCAACAGTAATAGAATGCGATCTAGCAGTCAATCTAGTGGCACATTTAAATCCATGCGATCGACGTACCAGGGAAGAGAGTTCATCAAAACAACTGCCATGAAAATATTTATAAAAAGACGATGAGAAAGTGGCTCATGTCAAGACATCAGGTAAGAACCGATAACATTAAATACACTTTTTTGGATTTTGTCAAGAATCTCCAGAGACGTGATGTGGCTTCCTCTGTCTTTTCTACAAATATTTTCATGGCTACAGCTCTGACGAGCTTTTTTTTTCTTGGTGCCCCGTCTAAATGAATCAAGCGTGCTACTAGACTGGCATCTAGATCCCACACTTTTACTGCTGAAACAGATAAATGCAACCGCCACTTCTACTCCAACAGCTTCTTTTCTCGCACGGTGGAAGCTGCTTCCTCTTACTTCCTTTCCTGAAAACGACAATCTTCAAAAATTTAAATGCAACGTTAATCGTCGTCATCTGTTGACTTGAACTCCTGTTCATCTTTTAATCCTTTCCTCAATCCCCCCCATACCCAGTTTTTCTCTCACTTTACTTCTATGTAACCCCCCGCGTACTAGTGGTATTCCTAACTTGTTTGGGGTGAAATGCTTAAATATATATAACCGGGGCATTAGATCCGATATGGCAGTAATATTCATTGCACGGACGAATGATTAAGAGATAAAAAACGTGTAAAATGGGTTCTGAAAAGCTCTGGACTTTTTTTTTCGTGTCTTTTTCTTTGAGATTCCCCCCCCCCGATGCTTCATGTGTTGTTTACAAACATCTCTTTTCAATTTCAACGATAAATGTGAATAGATAATTATGTTTCCTTGTTGTCTGTTTGTTTATAGGTCACGGACCATTTTCACATGATTTTCAGAAGGGACTGGCACCAGGTGCCAAGGTAAGTTCTGAAAAAAAAATAATAAAAAAATATATCCTAATTTATTTCGGAAGATTATACCATTTTTTTGGTAAAACTGGAGGAAGCTGGCTATTATCAAAATGTTTTCCTCAAAAGTTTTTTTCTTTATTGAAACAACCAAAGTTTTTTAAAAAAGTAACCGGAACAGCTGCTTTGTGGAGCTGACTCCCAAGTGGATGCTTCTCCGATCATGACAATCTTGGCCTGTTTAAGTCTCGGGTCAACCGTTATCTTCATAACATATCCCCATAAACTTTATCTCTTAATCTGTAATCCTCTATCTCGACTGGCTCTTGGGCTTTGTACAGAGTGGACATCAATATAAAAAAACGCAATATATTCTCGAATGAGGAAACACTATAAATATTTAAAAAAAATACTATGTAGATTTAATATTATGAAATAAGTTTTCTCTGCTGTCGATGTGAAATTTAAAATTAAAAAAAAAATCCCTGTGATCTCTATTAAAACTGATTTACATTAATGATGTGCCCGGTAATGTCACAGAGAGAAATTAAAATACATCTAAGTCAAGCAAACAGTATGTGTACGGGGACGAATAAAAAGTCTTACTTGTAAAGTCTACAGAACACGGTACAGATTCCTATTTAAGACGCATGTGAGGTCAGCTCACCAATGAGCTTTCACACGACACTCAAGGGCTCCTTAATACATCCTGTAATTCATCCTATAAAAAGGGAGATAATAGCCTTTTAATCCTACATCATTTTAGCTATTTTGCCCTTGCAGACAAATTAGGAGAACAAATTTCCCTAAAATAGTTAAATTCAAAATTAATCTCGAAGATGTAGTTAACATTCTTCATATCTGACCAAATAGATATTGTTGAAGAAGGCATACAAGAACGGTGATCTTTTTTTCTTTTTGTTCCTGAAGGAGGTTTAATCGCTTGGAAATGGGTACTTTTCTCAGTAATGCAGGAACTTAGAATATATCAGACATTATATGAAAAGTCTAAATAAAACTATGAAAACTAGTAACCAAAAGCAACACTTAAACCACCCTACAACAGGCACAAGAACGACTCAGTGTCAAACTGACGTATACTGACATAGCAAAAAAAATATATCAGAAGAGGTCAGTATCTCAAAGTGGAGCAGCTTAAAGAAAGTTCTAGTGACATCGGCAGTAGACATGACCCCAAAGTAATAGAAAGAAGAAAGGTGTGAATGAACTAAGGAAGAGACAACAGATGAAAAAGATGAGGCTAAGAATATAATTCTAATAGACCAAGCGAGATAATCTAGATTTTATTCTGAGATTCGAATAAGCTAAGGTAGATAGTTCAGTATTTATTTTAGTACTAAACTTTGAGGTCACTTTGGTAAATAAATTACTTTTGCTAATTTTGCCCCCAAATCGAGAATGATTAGAAAAAGGCCTTTCTCAGTACATTTTATGATTTTTGATGGCCAGAAAACAAGTTACTATATTTTTGTTAATACTGTATGATCGATAATAGAGCATCTTTAGTATAGTGATGTTGAAAAAAGGCCCTGAAAAATACTGGATCGTCTGCGAAATTCTCAAAGTCCTGTTTTTTCCTTAAGTTAAAACGGTTTAAATTTGCTAAAAGCGAGCTTTATTATTACTGCAAGTACAAAACGTCAAAGTATGGATCTAGTAATTAGTGTTGCTGCCTTTGGCTCGAATAAATGTCTGGATTCGATGTGGCTTTGAATAGAATATGTGCCAGATTTTCTCATTGGGAATATTTTCCTACTCTTCTTGTCAGTAATCCCGAAGCCTTTGGAGATTGCGTGGTTTTCATTGGAGCACTTGTTTCTTCCCGATTCAGTTATATTGAGTTCAGGAATTTATGCTGACCACTCTTTCAAAAGTTTAACATCTTCACCCACAAAAAAAAACAACTTTGTGTTGCACGTGATGTGTGGCAAAATGCATCGACAGACTGAAAAAGTTCCCCATCTTCTTAGAACTAATATGGTTTTCGTTGTTTGTGTTTTCATCAACTCTTACCAATTTTCTTCTTCCATGGCTTATTGTTATACAATAGTTTAGCAGACTATTATTTTTTAGAGAATTGTATTTCTACTCTGACATTCTCATTTTGACCTTTGAGGTCAGATACAGGAAAACAAAGGAAGTCGATTTTGATTGGATAAAACTAGCATGTAAATGTTACATAGAAATGGATTTCAGAGTTAGGTCTTACACGTCATACAATGTAGACGTGATACTCTCGTCTCTGGGAACTTGTTCCCCAGTGGGGATGAGAGATCGACCTCATTGGCTAGTTAAAAATTTTCACGTCGACGTGTTTAATAAAACTAGTCAAGTTCAAAACCCTTTTGTTGATGTCTCTTTTACCTCCGAACTAAAAAAAAACCAATTAGCGATCACCAGCTGTGAGAGAGAGAAAGCAACATTATGATCAAATCGACGTCGTCGCCCTAAGAGAACTGCAGAACGAGGGGCCTCTACAACATTATGATGCAACTCCACATGATTACGTGTCCACCACCAAATTTTATCATATTTGTGGAGTATCTTGCATTATTTCATTTCCCACTTATTTTCTTACATAGATTCTTACATTATATTTCTTTCATCACGAAAAATTATCGTTTGACAATCTCCAGCATTCGTCCTGGGTATGACGATAAACTACATCCGGCAGTAATGCCTCTAATCGGGAGTTTTTAGCAGAATGGAACCACTTCTTACTTGCTGTTGTTCCCAAGTTCACCCTGACCCGGGGTGGTAGCACCTGTTACGTTACCAGCTATGGGCAAATAATTAACCCTTTCCCAAACTGGGGTCAAAACATGAAAATATAAAAATACATTAGAACAAATTGCCAGCAATATATTTTCATAGTAAATAAAAAAATTAAATTGCCGACAATATATTACTAGGAAAAAAATTACCAGGAATACATTTTTGGAAAAGAAATTACCAAAGCAAAGAGAATAAAATTTCAGCATTAAATGACCCATAAGGAGTTGATATGTCGTTAAATAAACCAAACCAAACGTTCCAACATTAGATGTTAAATGTACTTTTGACCACTTCAATCTTTTATTCCGATGTTTTTTTGGTTAATGATGTTTTCCTTGCTGTTTTACGTCCATTCAAGTTGCTTTTTTTTTTTTTTTTTTTGTTTTTTTTTGTTCTTTTTTTTTCGAAATACACTGCGCACTATATCAACTAAAACCTCACTGTTAAGAATGAATTCAATCCACACTTGTCTGGCTGTTAATTTTGGATTGCCTACCGAAAATCACAATCGTTTCTTTTCTCTTTTGGGGTCTTTCCGTTTCTAATAGGAACATTAAATAATAACAAAAACATGACAGATGAATCAATAGTAAAAAAAAAATCCAAATTCTTTCCAAATTAAAACGATAATACAAAGGAATTAAACATATTTTTTGAAAATCTCTTGAACCTTAACCTACAAGAAAATCCAAATCATACAATAATCTCACATACAAAGACAAGTCTTAGAGAATATACGATTAAATAATATGTGGAACTAACGATTCTTCGCCTGATGAAGGTCATAAAACCCGAAATCCGTGTAGCAAAATATATATAGAATAACGTATATATAAAAAATCTACTCAGCCTACAGAATCTTGAGAGTGTTTGTACTTCATATAGATAATGGTTGATAAACGATGTAGCATTTGATGCTATAGTCATCTTGGACAAAATATAAAGCAGTATAAATGGAAAAACAAATCTCTTTTCTTTCGCTCTTCAACGTCAGAATGCTGTAAGGACTAGGGGATTTTTTTTGTTGTGGAGTGGTTAACAACTTGTAAATTAATCGGACATAAAATAGGTTTGACGTACAAAACAAAAATATTATATCAAAAATTAGTTGCGGTCGCTGAGACCTTTAGTATCCGACAAAGGACCAGCCTGTCCAACTGAGACTCTGTTAAAACTTATCAGTAACCTAATAAGATACAATATTACAACCATTTGCTAAACAGATTAAGAGTTTCATAAGAGACGATATCCACTTCCTGAGCTCCGTACTACAAAAAGTAGATTCAGGAAAACTCATGGCAACATTTGACATTAGTAGCCCATATAGTAACATACCCCCCATGAATTTGGTAAACAACCAATTTCATTCTTGTTGTGGATTCCGGGATGAAATCCGGTCTCAAATGAATGACAAACGCAGGAATGAAATATAGCAAATAAATGTATTGACGTAATAATACAATTGGTAATACGGTTAGTAGATCCAGAAATGCGGTTAGTAGCAATAATAATATATATATACAGTCTGGGAAATTCAGTATCGAAGTAGGACTTCCTTCTGAGTTTACGTGCTCGTAACTGTGACTCCTGCAAAGCGGTTAGCCCACACTCTCACTGTTCACTGTATCACTCTATCAGTGTATCTCTGTCTCGGGTATTCACCGGCAGCAGTACAAGTACACACTGGTCGAGTTCACTTGTATGAAAAAGGGGTGGACCCCATAACAATTCTGGATTGAAAATGCAGAAATACTACATCCCAAATTCAACAAGGATTTCATTATCGATCATATAGACCTAATCCTAGGCAACAACTCTTTTGAATTCGATAACAAAAATTATATCGAGACGCTAGCTACTGCGATGAGAACTAAAATGCCACCAACATATGCTATCCTAACTTTGGCCTACCGAAAGGAAACCCTTTATGAAAAGATAGAGCAAAAATATAGGGAAAATATAAAACCTCATTTTACTAAATCTTGGAATTTATACTTAGATGATTCCTTCATTTTCTGGAAATCCTCATGGGCCAATATTAACGAATTACACAATTTACTCCATAACTAATAAACTACCATTCTTAGATATACTCATCAGAAATAGAAATAGCCATATTATCATAGATACCTGCCACAAAACTACAGGCACCCCAAATTATCCCCGTTTTAAGAGCCATCACCCAAAAAGCTGTTTAAAATTCATCCCCATTCCCTGGTACGTAGGATATGGATTATAGTGGCCGGCAAACACCTCCGAAAAAAACTGCCTAGAAGAATTACATAAAACTCTCAAAACACGAGGATACTCCCCAGTACTAATAAACAAGGGTTTAGAACGAGCAGGGAAAATACCTTTAGACCAACTACGGAACCCAAAGAAACGCAATAACGAACAAATTCTAGCATACGTTTCAACATGCAACAAGCAAAATCCAGAACTATTTACAGAAATAACAAGAAACATAGACCTACTTAACAAGAATGATAAAATGAAAGATATACTAAAAACAACCAAAATGATTAAAAGCAAAAGCCAATCAAAAAACCCAAGACGCATATTAACCTCATCCAAATTTTGTTATCACACAATACAAGGTGTCACAAAATGCAAAGATGTTGGGGTATGTGATATAATTATAGAAGGAAACTCCTACACTTTTGAAAACTCCACAGCAACATTCTCAATAAGGAAAACTTAAACTGTAACTCCAAAAATGTAATTTATTCACTCGGGTGTAAAAAATGTAACAAATCCTCTATAGGCATGACTCACTCAAGCACTAAACAACAGTGTCTCTCTATACAAAAGCAATATTAAATTACCAGACAACTCTTTGTGTCAAAACACATCCACAAATGCAACAAGGGTAGCTTCAAAATTATGCCGTATATCAAACAGACGATTACTCTTACCTCCAAAAAAGAAAACTTCGTAGGCAAATTTAAACTAGCAATAAACAAATCATAACCCCACACACATAAACACGCACCATATGCACATAGTTGCAAAAATCAGTCGGAACACGCACATACAAACACACCATACAAAATGCATGTGGGAATATTTTTAGCCCAGTCCAAGATTAATTCAGATGACTACTACTACACACAAAAGACAATGAAAATAAAATAGGAAAGAAAAAAGATTCATTCCCTTAAATAATATGTGGAACTAACGATTCTTCGCCTGATGAAAGTCACAAAACCCGAAACACGTGTAGAAAAATATATAGAATAAAGTATATATAAAAAATCTACGTTATAATAAAAAAGTTTGCGGCTTTTTCTATCTTTAATATATCACGCAGGATGTCTCAGGAATCTTGTTTAATATATATTTGTTATTTTATCACCAACATATTGTGTTCGTATCCCTGCTCAGCCTACTGAACCTTGAGAGTGTTTGTACTTCATAGAGATAATGGTTGATAAAATATGTCGCATTTGATTTTATAAGATTATTCCCACCTTGTCTGCCAGGAGACATCTAATGCGTGTATAAAGCAGTATAAATGGAAATAGCACTAACCCCATCTCTTTTCTTTCGCTCTTCAACGTCAGAATGCTGTAAGGACAAGACGTGTCTCATTTTCTGTTGTGGAGTGGTTTCACAGTGGAGGCTTGTATTTGTACTAAGTCGGTCCTAAAATAGGTTCGACGTACAAAACGTTAGGAACTTGATATAATAGGTAATGGCGCAGAGAAATCTAGTTGTGGTCGCTGATACTTTAGTATCCGACTAACGGTCGTCCGGCATCGACTGACTGACCCACTCTGAGCGACTCCTAATACTCCTACTTATTATAGGTGGAAAAGTCTATTAACTATAGAATAGGTGTGTTCCACTATAACATTTTCCCTTTAGGGGACTTCTTAGTCCCCAGCGAACAACGTGTAACATACAACACAATACTATCACTGCACTGTGTTTAACCTGCGTTAGTCACATGGGTGTGTTTTGTTACCCCAACAATTACTCGCAATTCCTACCTGGCAACTTCTTTTTTTTTATCCCTCATGCAATTTTCCTGACTCAGTGAGAGTGCGTAGCACGCGTTGTGGCGCAGTTGTAGCTCAGTCGTCATGGGAGGAGACGTTAGGGAACTATCCATTTTCGGAAATCCGAAAGTGACTAATGCAGTTTTAATATCTCTAATACATCATTTAAATATATATCGCTCTCCAACATAAGAAAGTATCTCTCTTCGACAAACGCGTCAAAAACCGCTAGAAACGGATGGTTTCTTTAACAGAACTAATGCCGTAAAAATTTCGAAGATGTTCATTTTAAATATTTGCTTCAAGAAAAAAAAAAAAACGTAGCTTATACGAATCCAGAAAAAATGGTAGTTGATTCTGTGCATTAAATTAAAATGAGGAAAAATTTATCTTAACATAGTATTTGTTAGAAGAAACCAAAATTGGCAAAAAGTCCTTACAAAGTAGTTACAAATTAATTATTTTTCTCTGGACTGACTTTTTCTTCATGGTTACCAAATGAATAAGCGAAAAATGAAAAGTAGAAAAACGAACAAATGGACACAAATGACTGTTACTCTATCATTACCATTGGGTTAGATTTTTGATGTTATCACACTTTGGCAAGTAACTGAAAAGCATACCACGGGTTGTTCAAAGACTTGTATGTAAAATTTGGGTAGCCAGAACTATTTGGGTAGCCAGAACTATTTGGGAACCGTCGATGGTTGTGCCTGAAGTCCCAAGTCATTGTGACCGAGGGTTTGAATGTACGGGCCCTGTTCAAACAGTTGATCACGCCTGATGATGCGCTCTGTCTCAGAAAATGTATCTAAGGTCCTCTCAGCACAGTTGCAGAATAAACCACTGGTGGGTTCTGTGGATGTAGAATAAACATAAATGTGCCTGAGCAGATGTCTGTAACAGGGACTGGCTAGTCACCCTAGCAGACATACTTGGATAGGAGCTGTCACATTTCATAGATTTACAACGAAATGCCTCAGTGGGTTAACAGCGTCTACTTCGTAAGTCGAAAACCATGAAGCTGCCATCAAATGAAAATGCATATTTGTTAATTTTCTGTATTTTACCTCTAATCGTAATGAACAAAATTTACAAACTGATTCACACAAAACCCTAGAGGTCTTTCTACCAAACAACATTAAATAATTCTTTTTATATTTCAGCCTGAAGGAAAATCAATAAAGATCTTTGACATTGTGTGTCAGTATGACGGGATTGTAAGTATCATTTTTGCAACGTATATAAATCTATCAACATCAGTAGATAATAGTATAATCTTTTTTCCTACCGCAAAATTACATGACATTCCATTTCTATCCCGTCCTGGATATGATGATGAACTACATCCAGTAGCAAGGCCTGTGATCAGGATATTGAAGGACCCACATCTTAAATGCAGATGTTCCCAAGACCAACCAGATCCGGGATGGTAACACCTTTTAGGGTCCCAGCTAGGGGCAAATAGTGAACCCCGAAACAAAGATCAACAATACATTTTTATAGTAAAATGACCAAATATACATTTTTATATTAAAATGACAATGAATGCAACACTAAAAAAAAAGTATAAAAACACATGTTCATAGTAAAATTACCGGAAATATATTTTATAAAAAAATTCCTGACAATACATTTTTGTAGAGAAATTAACAGCAAAAATTTTTTTTTTAATTACCGACAATACATTTTATCACCGTTAGTATAATGTATGGCGTTCCCAATTCAAGGAGAGACAACACTTCCTTTCAAAGTTATAAGAAATTAACAGATTTCGAGCCTAACAGAAAAACCAAAAATATTGCTTTATAATAATACTAGTTTGTCTCTGAGTGATTCAGATGATTATGTATATTCGTAAGTGTGTGTGTGTGTGTGTGTGTGTGTGTGTGCATCTAGTAGACGTTATGTTTGGTGGATTTTCGTATGTTGATTTGCGAACGTTTTAAAGTGCATACATTTGTTTTCGATAAATATACGTTAGATTCTCTAAGAATGGATTCATTAAAGGTGGTTAATGTATTACAATGTTTTTGGCATGTGTTTATAGTCGGTAATATTGTTATTAGTAGGCCTTCGAAGTACTTTCAACATAAAGAATTATGTCATTTTGTAATTAGCATGGCATCTGTTAACAAAGGCTCCGGTATTTGGTATTTACGAAGTGATAATTGTTCCACGAATTGGAGTTCTGGTTATCGCCACTCTATAGGGAGTACTTTCAATCCCAGATATACTCGGTCACATAGGAAGACCGGAATTATGTATTTTGAGTAGACCATAAAATCCAGATAACTTAGGGTCGTATTCGATCAACCCTAACCATGTTTTGTACTCATCATTAACTTTCTAATTTTTCGTTAAAAAATATGGAATTAGAACATAATAAATAAAAGGATCTGTTTCAAATTCCAATCACCTGAAGAAGGCCAGAGTGTGCAACAACCGAAACGTCGTGAATATGACAACAAAGGGAAGGACAACAGTCCGAACAATGTAAATAACTGTAACAACTCATCTCAGAAATATAGACTGACAATGTAAATAGTGTAAAAAAATTTTTAATTTTTACTTTGCGAAAAGCCTTTTGTTTTTCACCTCGAAAGAAATAAAAATGATGATTCGATACAACTAAAAATAAATAAAAAAATAATTTTATTTGTATAAAAAAAAATTACTTGATTTTATTTTCAGAAGGATATCAAAGAGGATGAACGTGAAATAGTGAAAGCAATGATTCATCCGGAAAATGTAAGTATTTATTTTTTTTATAAGTTAATCAATTTTTCTCTGACGTGGCATATAACTATTCAGCGTCTAAGTATGCTAACTTTTCAGTATTAATTATTAATTTAATAGTCGGAGCTTTAATACAACATATCAGCTTTTGAGCATATATGACTGAAACGATGCCTGCAGTGTCTGATATATTTAATGTTTATTATATTAACATATGACGAAAGATATTTATGTTCAGCCTGTTTTTTTTCATTAAGAAATATGAAGGCAACGATTATATTGGACGTTTCTTTAAAAGGAAGGATTTGTTGATCAATGATATTTGAGTGACACTTTTCTTCATTTACAATCGGACTGGGATCAAAATGTAATATCTGTCTTCCTCATCTCTAATAGTAATATTAATTTTTTTTCTTTATAAGGAAACATTCGGTACTCATTGATCGAGCAGACATTGTTAATTTATAAAATCTTTCTCTTTTTTTATGTTCATACATTTTTTCTCGAAATTTACGGATATTTTAAAAATGTCTTTTTTTCGTAGTTATTGCTTATATTCTATTTGGTAAATTCTTGATTCTGATGCTAATTTAGAACTTTAAAAATCTTTATTTTCATATTAAATTCTGAATTTAAGAAGGTTAATAAATTAAAATTTTTTTATTTTGAATTAATTTTTTTTTTTTTTTATAAAACATACAAATTTAAAAAATTAAAAAATGAAAATTCTTTTATAATTTTAAAATAATAAATTATTCAAAGGAATTTTTCAGAATTTTTGAGAATTACAAGAAAAAAGACAAAATTGTTTGGAATGTTGATTTCAATTTCAAAATTTGTAAAGATTGTTAAACATTTCTCAAACATAAATTCAAACAAAAGATAGAAACATTGAAAATTAATTTTTTGGATATATTGTCGTCAAAATTCCGTCTTTTTAAAAAATCTCTTGATATCTTCTTTTAAAATTTCAACACACAAATTCACACAATCATAATATATATATATTTGTTTACTGTTATAAAAAATAAACATATAAAAATCAATATGCCGGTCTATTTGATAAAACATATCAAAATTGTTTTAATAATAAAATTCCAGAAATTATTTAGAATCTTTTCTTAACTTAAAAAAGGGGGATATCCTTATTTTAAATGGTGATTGATGCCAAAAAAAATGCAGATCATCAAATGTTAAAGATAAATTTTTGTCGCTCGTTCACTGCGTCGGTTTATATCCAAGTGTCAATTTTTTTTTAACAAAAAGATTAAAAATTTCTTCGCAGATGTATAATCAACTTTGACAATTCGTCTTAATTAATTTTTTCATATACATTTTAATAAAGGAAAAAATTTGGATAATTTTTATTTTGAGTAATTTGACCTTGTAAAAAAATCTTGGAATTAACTACTCAGTTTATTTTGCTGAAAAATATTTTTTTTTCTGCCATTTGATGAAAAAAAAACATTAGAAGAGGCATTTATATGTTTTATAGATAATATTCTAAATATAAAAAAGATGAAAAACTTCATTTGATTCAAAACAAATGATGAAATAAAAATTTTTATGGAGTAAAAATAAAAGCCACCTAAAAATGTAAAAAATTTTAAAAGGAAATTTTTTAATTCATATCAATAATAAAAAACATTTTTCATAAATTTTTATTTAAAAAATAATCGTTTTTATTCGCGAATATGGGATTTAATTTTTGGATTTTAATGGAAAAAATTCCCAAATATCAGTATAAAATAATGTTAAAACTTTTTTTAATTCTAGACAGCATTCCTGTAAAAAAGTTTTTTCTTTTTGGTCTTAATTTTTTCTGCATCTACTGAATAGTTGTTTACGGGCTAATGTTTGTATACAAATACATTTTATCACCGTTAGTATAATGTATGGCGTTCCCAATTCAAGGAGAGACAACACTTCCTTTCAAAGTTATAAAAATTAACAGATTTCGAGCCTAACAGAAAAACCAAAAAATATTGCTTTATAATAATACTAGTTTGTCTCTGAGTGATTCAGATGATTATGTATATTCGTAAGTGTGTGTGTGTGTGTGTGTGTGTGTGTGTGCATGTGTGTAGAAATTAAAAAATTTTGGTGGATTTTCGTATTTTGATTTAGTATCGAACGTTTTTCTTTGCATACATTTGTTTTCGATAAATATATCGTTAGATTCTCTAAGAATGGATTCATTAAAGGTGATTTCGTTATGTATTACAATGTTTTTGGCATGTGTTTATAGTTAGTAATTTTGGCTTATGTAGGGCTCAAGTGGCTTTCAACATAAAGAATTATGTCATTTTGTAATTAGATATGGCATCTGTTAACAATGGCACCGGTATTTGGTATTTACGAATGATAATTGTTCCACGAATTGGGTTCTGGTTATCGCCACTCTATAGGGAGTACTTTCAATCCCAGATATACTTGGTCACATAGGAAGAACGGAATTATGTGTTTTGAATAGACCATAAAGTCCAGATAACTTAGGTTAGTATTCGATCAACCCTGACCATGTTTTGTACTCATCATTAACTTTCTAATTTTTCGTTAAAAAAATATGGAATTAGAACATAATAAATAAAAGGATCTGTTTCAAATTCCAATCACCTGAAGAAGGCCAGAGTGTGCAACAACCGAAACGTCGTGAATATGATAACAAAGAGAAGGACAACAGTCCGAAACATGTAAATAACTCAGAAATATAGACTGACAATGTAAATCGTGTAAAAAAGTATGACTATTTTAATTTTTACTTTGCGAAAAGCCTTTTGTTTTTTACCTCGAAAGAAATAAAAATGATGATTCGATACAACTAAAATAAATAAAAAAAATAATTTTATGTGTATAAAACAAAAAATTACTTGGTTTTATTTTCAGGGGGATTGTATCAAACAGGATGAACGTGACATAGTGAAAGCAATGATTCATCCGGAAAATGTAAGTGTTTATTTTTTTATAAGTTAATCAATTTTTCTCTGACGTGGCATATAACTATTCAGCGTCTAAGTATGCTAACTTTTCAGTATTAATTATTAATTTAATAGTCGGAGCTTTAATTACAACATATCAGCTTTTGAGCATATATGACTGAAACGATGCCTACAGTGTCTGATATATTTTTAATGTTTATTATATTAACATATGACGAAAGATATTTATGTTCAGCCCGTTTTTTATTTTCATTAAGAAATATGAAGGCAACGATTATATTGGACGTTTCTTTATAAGGAAAGATTTGGCTTTCAATGCTATTTGAGTGACACTTTTCTTCATTTACAATCGGACTGGGATCAAAATGTAATATCTGTCTTCCTCATCTCTAATAGTAATATTAAGCGTTTCCTTATAAGGAAACATTCGGTACTCATTGATCGAGCAGACATTGTTAATTTATAAAATCTTTCTCTTTTTTATGTTCATACATTGTTTTCTCGAAATTTACGGATATTTTAAAATGTCTTTTCGTAGTTATTGCTTATATTCTATTTGGTAAATTCTTGATTCTGATGCTAATTTAGAACTTTAAAATCTTTCCCCGATATTAAACTTCTGAAACCTGTTTGGTGTCTATCTCTCCAGTTTGTAATTCAACTCTCAGGCTTCTTCTCTTACTGAGGAACATACTTTCAGTCTTCATGCAGTTGATAGTCCCTTTTTCTCGCTTTCTTCTATCACCCTGCCTTAGAAGGTTCTGTAGTTTTCTTTCCATGCAGTGTCATCTGCATATCTTGTATAATTGTTTCAAAGCCTTTTGCTTAGGGATGTAACAACAAAAGAGATAGATCAAGTATCGACCATAATTTAAAGACTGAAAAATAAAATCCCCTAAGATTATTGTTTAAGGTGTCCCGGACACGCATGTTTTAATTAGTTTTTTTTTTTTTTTTTTTTTAAAAAAGGATTTTCAAACTCAAACAAAAACATTGTTTACAATCGTTATGAGTCTATTTTTGATGAATAGAATTTTATTATAAACAATTGTCTTGTAAATGGATTTTTTAAAGCATTCTGAATGTAAAATAAAAGAAAATGTGTGCAAGACAATAAGAAACACTACATGCCAAAAAAAAAAAAAAGTGAAGTTTTATTTGAAAATCGGTTGAAAAATGTAGGTAGCCTTTCTGTAATCTTTTAGTTTTACAATTTATGATTTTTACTTATTGAATACAGTAAAAAAATTGCATATTTTGCTTGTGGTGATTCATAATTAGAATTCTGATTTGAATATATTTTCCACTCGTTGTTTCTAATACAAAAAATTAACTTTATTTGGGTTTATTTTTGTGTTTTTCTCTTTGTTTCTTAATAATTATCATCTTCGAAATATTGTTTTTTTTTGTCTATCAGATTTCTTACGTCGGCATTTTTAAATTATTTCTTAATACTTTCTTTTAAATATTGAATTAATTTCAAATAGAACCAATGCCTTATTGATCTGCCTTGTAACAAATTGCAAAGGGAATTGTAAAAACGGCCCTAAAGTACGTGGAATTATCTTTCCTAAAGATAAAGAATTATCCGATTTTTCGATTCGTACAATCATAGAGATCGTTAGATTATTGTTTAGGTTGACGGACACGCATGTCTGTCTTTTTTTTTTTTTTTTTTTTGAATTGGTCAAACCCAAACTCAAACAAAAACATTGTTTTCAATCGTTATGATGAGTCCTCCGATTGAATAGAAAAGTTTTATTATAAACAATTGTCTTGTAAATGGAATTTTAAAAGCATTCTGAATGTAAAATAATTAAAAAAGTGTGCAAGACAATAAGAAACACTACCTGCCAAAAAAAAAAAAAGTGGAATTTTGTTTTATCGGCTGAAAAATGTAGGAAATCCGATCCCATATATTTAAAGGAACACACACACACACAAACAACCTGTTTTTTTTAACCTGATGTGAGTTATCCCCCTTTCATTCTCACGATGTGTCTTAATCGTGTTTTCAAATTGATTTTGTTAAAAAAACAATTGTTTTTTCCCATTTTCGGAGCTGTTAGAACCACCACAAGGTAATTTTATGTAGTCCTGTGAAGTTTTGTTGAAATCGGCTAAAAAATGTAGGAAATTCGATCCAATATATAAACGTTACACACACACACACACACACACACATTTTATACATACACACACACTGATATTGCGTTTATATTTTTATAGATAATTGTTTTTTCCTTTTTAGGTCGGACCCTGTTCCGCCATATATTCACAAATTCATTAAAAATGGCTCACTGCCTTAAATATCTCTCTTGCCCTCAATATGTTTGTGAGGATTTGCATTTACAAGCCCTCCGTCCTCATTATGTTTCGAAGGACTTTCCCTGATTTTGAGTATGTGTTCCTTCTGTTGCTATTTTCTTTCAGACTTTTTTGTTGCTTACTCGCTTCGTCCATGCAATTCTCATTATCATTCTGTAGAACCACATTTCTTCTGCCTATAGTTTTTCTTCCCATTCATTAGCTTATAAGAGGATGGATACAACATAGCAATCCAACACTCTCTTTGTTTCTAACGAAATTTGTCCGTTTCTCAGTACCTTGCTGATCTTTCAGAATTGCTCTCTCTCTCTCTCTCTTGCCCTCGTTCAATGCGTGTTCGGATCTCCGTGTTGCATTTCCTTGATGCCTGCTTGATGCCTATATCTCTAATTTGTAACTCGCATCTCCGTCTTTTTCTCTTGCTGATGATCATACATTGTCTTCTTGCAGTTGATGATTAGTCCTTTTTTCTCGCCATCTTCTCCTTCACTTTCTAAGAGATCCAGTAGTTTTCCTTTCAAGTTGGCTATCAATACTGCGTATGTTATATTAAGATTATGCCCAACGATAATATATTTTTGTAGGGTTTCCAGTTCCCTTAAGATAGTGTCACTGTAGAGGTTATGTCTTCGTTCTTCAATTCATCTTTTTCATTTACCTTCAATACACCGTAACTGTAGTTAAATCCAGACATGTTTAAACTCACAACCCAAATTTATTATATTCAATATTATTACCACTTTAAAATCTTTGTCAGTCTTCTTTTCTTTCCCAGGATTCAAATAATTCATTAAAATTAACCACCTTTTTTTTTCAGCACCAAGAAATCATATCAAAATACCCGGATAAAGAATTCATGTTCCAGGTTGGTATTAAGTATCATAATTTTAAACACTTAATAGTAAATCTTATTTACATAATATAAAAATTATTATAAGCTTTCAGTCAAAAGATTTATATTTCTTTAATTCATTCCATCCCAAGCAAGGGAGTAAAGTCACTAAGACACAAGGGGTTACTGTGTACGGAAGAATTACGAACACATTCATTTAGGAATAAGTGTTGATTCTAAAATCGGACATTATTAACAACAAAGCAATGTTTTTTCAATTATTTTTAATTTGATTTAATTTAATTTTGAAACTAAAATGCATCTTATGAGTCTTTAAATATTAATAGTTTCTATTTTATTTAATTATTTCTCTTTCTTTTCTACTTTTTTCCTCTTCATCTCCATATTGTATCAGCTTTCATGTGGCATATTTGTTGTTTTAATTATTTTTTACACCGAGACAAAAATACGCTTACTTGACATCCAGATTTACCTCCCTTTATTCACTGCTTTATTTTGTCTTTCGTATTATTTCAGTCGATGTAATGGTGTTATTCCGACAACCTAATAAAACTCTCATTTAATCTATTTAATAAATATTTAATAGATATTTAATCCTATCCTCATTCTACCTAACGTGTTTCTCTCTATGTATATCTCTATCTCTCTTTTTATCTCTCTCTCTCTCTCTCTAAGGAAAAACGTATGTAAAAACGTGTGTAAACAGTTTTCTTGTGACACATTTCGTCCTTTAAGACTTCATCGGACGAAATTTTTTATGTTTTTGCGTCTGCACATGCGCACGAGCGAGGGATGCTTGGAATTTTAAAGACGTTTTATATGTAGTCGCACCAAAATAACAAATTTAGTCCGATTAAGACTTAAACGACGAAACGCGTTACAAGAAAACTTTTTCCACTTTGTCATACCTTTTTCACAATGTTATTCTTGATATTATAGACTCGTCCTGTTTCTACCTGCAAACCCTAGTAACAGAACGGTCTATATTTTACGCTTACGTACAAAGTAACTTTAACCAATTAAAACTGTATTAGGCGAATAAAGAAATTTCATTGGATAACGACAACGATCTAAAAGCTTCACGCGCTGAAATCGAAATTGCGCCAAAACCTTTTGAGCCAACTTTGGACCTTCGGAAACTTATATAAAGAAAAAACCGACTGACCCAAATCAGTCAGCAACAGTACCACAGAGAGTTGCTAACTTATTCCACGTCGTTCGAAACCAGACTTTGCCGCCAAAAAAACACCTCAACGCTGACTCGCTAACATTCCAACTCTACCAATTCTGTGGACATTATTTCTTAGATATTGCTTACCTAAAGTAAATTACATTTACTATTTAAGTAAAAATCTACATGTGAACGACGTTAAAATATTACAGTGAAAGGTAAATTACTTCTTAAGAACTTTCTGAACTCTTTGCCAACATAACACATACCTAAATTCTATTTGTACATCATTTTGAATTGTATGTAAATGTTTTATCAGTTCTAATATAATGTCTTATTCGTAATATGAACTCTGGTACAAATATTCCAAGTTAAAGGGACACAACTCTGTCCTACCTTTTTGTTGCATGCTTGTACGTCAACCTAAATAAATCTATTGTTACGTTATAAAACAATTCAGTTGAATTTTGTATTTTATTTTTGTGTTAGTGGAAATAGTTAATTGACACGCAACCTATTCTCAATAAATATTACCACACAATTAACCCAACCACTACAATATATAAAAATATATATTATATATATATATATATATATATATATATATATATTCTGTTTATGCGTTATTTTTTATAGATGCAAATATTTAAATAAATGGTCTATTTATAATAAACAGTATTAACAACATTTACCGGCTTGAATGTCCGAAAATTTCATTAAAAAAATTAATTTTCTTCCTCCAATGTGGAATATTCTTATGAGACATTCTGTTTGACAAAAGCTAGAATTGTCAAGTCCGTTCTGGTTAAGGGTCATGAAAAAGACAAAGGTTTGTTTTTAAACTTTAAATTTTATGTTTTGATTTCTATTTCTTGGATCTGGATTTTGGCGTGTTCTGTCAACACGTGTAAACTATTTTAAACGATCTGAATATATTATCTCAAAATATATATATATAAAATACATATTTTATTATATTACTTAAAAAAATGATGCAAATATTTAAAAAGAATAAATTATTAAAATAAATAAATATTATAAAATAAAAAAACAAAAATAAATTAATCCAAACAAATAAATAAGTAAATAACAAACAAACCATATACACACAGATAAACAAGAAAACATAGTAATAACAACCGACAATAAAATAATCGATAATAAATTTCGAAAAAAGTTAACAAACAACGGTATAAAAAGTCAAGAAAAACTGCATCCGGACCCGCAGTTATTCCCACTCAATAACCCCTAGAATAATTCGTAACACAATCGTTACCTCCCACTAAAATAACCGTTAGAATAATACAACAGACTTCCCACAATGCAATACAACAGACTAACCACAATGCAATACAATAGACTTCCCACAATGCTTCACGATTGCATTTAGCAAAAACAGACTGTCTCCTCTGAGTGTGGACTTCAATGTCCATTTTTATATTTGCATACGTTTTATCCCTGATATTGAACATTTTAACCAATAAATCTAGCACACCATAAGACTATATTTTATCATATATATGTGTGTGTGTGCGTGTGTGTGTGTGTGTGTGTGTGTGTGTGTGTGTGTGTGTGTGTGTGAGAGAGAGAGAGAGAGAGAGAGTTTGTAAATAAAGGGATGGATTTTTTATTTATTAATACGACAAATTTATTTTATTAAAAACATTAATTTTTTATTATAAAATCTTAGGAAAAAATATGCCTTCTCCGGCAGGTTTCGAACCTGCGTTCCCCGCGGGGAAACCGTCATTACACCTGATGAGCTAAAAAAAAAAAAAAAAAATTAAATCCGATTAATAAATGAAAAAAACAATTCTTTTATTTACAAATTGCTTTGTTTACCTTAGGATACGAAACTGAGGAGATATGTCTATTTCGAATGTTACGGAGAAAACTGTGTTTAAAGGCTCTATTCATCTTTGTTTGGTCAACGACGCACTCTGTAGCCGAGAGGTCAAAGCACGTCAGATCTAATGACAATTTCTCCTAGGGGAACGAGGGCTGGAATCTTGCCAGAGAGTACACATTATTATCGCTATTAAGTTTTCTCGAATATTCAGGCCGGTAGACGAAAATAAATAAATAAATAACGCTGTTTAATAAATAAAGAGCGTCTACTCAAATACGAGTATCCACTAAAAATAACGTGTAAGTAATAATAATGTGTATGTATGTATGTATGCGTGCGTGTGTGTGTGTTTGTGTGTGTGTGTGTGTGTGTGTAATGTAGTGAATATCATAAGCTATCAATCTATAATGCCTATCAATCATATTCTATCTATCTATCTATCTATCTATCTATCTATCTATCTATCTATCTATCTATCTCATTCTGTTCATGTCTATTTCCTTCTGTTCATATCTATCTATCTATCTATCTATCTATCTATCTATCTATCTATCTGTCTGTCTGTCATTCTTCATAATTAGTTTAATGGCGAATTGTTTCTTTCTAGATTGTTTCCAATGATGAGAACGGAATCGATGTTGATAAATGGGATTATCTCGCCAGAGACGCCTTTTATCTTGGTCAGAATTCCAACTTCGATTACATGCGCCTTTTCGCCCATGCCAAGGCCCTTAAAGTTGACGGGAAAATGCATATTTGCTATCCTTTAAAGGTCTGTACTTACTTAAGATCATCATACATACAGCTACACAAGTAAATAAACATACAGAATGTCACGTATGCATCAACTTTCTTACATACGCATAAACACACAAACATACAATTTATAGTCTTTGTTGATTCTCTCCTCGTGCTCAAGACGTGTGACCTTCTGCCTGACTAAGCTAAGCCAAGAAAATAGAGGATACGGTTCAGCGCCTCACCGAAGTTTTAGTGAACGAGTTCAGCTAAGCATTAACATGGTGTTGAGAATTGGATCCTCATTGGGCAGAGTTCAAAAGCCTTGAAGATGATGAATTATTTTCACCCTACAACCCTTTCCCCATACAATCAAAACATCGCTGCCTCTGACTATTTTCGGTTGGTTGTTTTTACTTAGCGGCATCTCAAACTCTATGCGTTATTTAATACCGAAATCGAAATATTTTAAACACAATTTTATTTTTATGGCTTTAACTAAATATATGCAATAAATTAGTATTGTTGGTAATTTTACTATTAATAGGTATTGGTAGTAATTTTTTATGTAAAAATATATTGCTGTTACTTTTGCCATAAAATATATTTTTTTATACTTTCTTAATGTTTTTGTTTGGGGGTTCGTCATTTGCCAAGAGCTGGGAGACTAACAGGTGCTCTCTTTCCGTGTCGGGGTGAATCTGAGACCAACTACAATTAAGAGATGGTTCCACACTCCTCAGAACCTCCAATCTCCCGATCCGCGGCCTTGTTAACAGTATCATTTATCGTCATGCCCAAGATTCTGGATATTTTATCGTTATTTCCATGGAAAATGATACCTCCATTAGTTCAACTAGTTCAGACCTTTAGATTTCATATCTATCAGGCCATGTACACGGGTTCGAATCATCGTCAATCCCTTGATAAAGAGTACACTATCTTCCAAAGAAGTGTAGAACAAATTCCCGAAAGAAGCATTCACTGATTACTACATATTTAACATCATCAAGTCAACCATTATTTATACAAAATAAACATATTTAATACCCCCCCCCCATTATGGGCATTAATATATCCATGATATAATAACACTGTACTTCCGAAGGAACGGGATAGCCTTGTTCTCAGCGAGAGTTTTATACCACTAAATGATACACAAAAATATATATATATATATATATATATATATATATATATATATATATATATATATATATATATATATATATATATATATATATATATATATATATATATGATAACGGCTTGATTGGATTGATTGAGGAATCGGAATCGGAATCCAGGACAGACTGGGTTCTTTAATCTTCTAATTCTAGGAGAAGGACAACTCTGAATTCAAAAACCTACGGACGGTCGTTTGGGGACCCTGTGGCACGTAGTCCACCAAGTCTCTGTATTCGGCCCTTTATAATGTGTGGATGGTTCTGCACAAAACCTTCACCACTATAATCAAATCTCTGGTGTCGGGCTTTCAGTTCCTAGGAACTGATCTGCTTGACCCTCATACGTCGAATTCGATGGGAGAGATGGTGACAGATATGGTCGAAATTAGAGAGTGAAGGGAGAGATAGGAATAATTTTAAATTTATTTTTATTACAATAATTAATAATGAGGAAGGGGTGTAAGGCCCAGACATTGACCTATTTAAGAGGTCATCTCACATGAAACAATATAGAGAGAAATAAGAGAAGTAAAGATGTAAGAAATAAGAGGTGGAATTAGGATTTTAAGGAAATAAAGAGGAATACAGATTTGGAAAGGGAAATTAAGAAAATTAATGCATGTAGGCATATAGCGGCTAATTTAGAAAAACTCAGATTTATATATTTTTATTGTATATATATATATATATATAGATATAGATATGTGTGTGTGTGTGTGTGTGTGTGTGTGTGTGTGTGTGTGTGTGTGTGTGTGTACACGTGTCTCACGCAACGGCAATATAACATATATTTATACAGCAAACAGAGTGAAAGGAGAACAAAAAGATTTAATATGGAAATTCTTCTGTGTTTCTGGAGAAGATATGTTTGGGATACAAGCGGGCCGTGTGCATCTACTATGTCATAAGCGAGGGCATATTCGCGAACAGGAAACAGCGAATCTTAGATTTTCCAAAACTGAGGAATGGGAATCGGAGTTCCTTTCTATATTTGGGGAAGTTATATTCCGAAAGGGAAACAGCGCCATATGCTTCTGAGCTGTACTACATCCTGGCGGAAGTTACTAATAACCTCTCGCGTTGCCTTTTGTAAAACCGACTGAATAAATGTCACTTTGGTCACTGTATGGAGTGATGCCACTAAGTGGCCGTGACGTGACTATGTCGACCAAAGGGAGATAATCGCTTTTTGTATCCCCTGCAAAGTCAGCAGCCACACGAGGACGACTAGGTTCCTGCTGTTAGCTGTAAACTGAACATATCATAAGGCCTGAATCTTTCAACTCATCTAACCATTTATTTGATGTATAATTACTGATATATGATGTATAATTACTGATATACCCCTAGTCGAGTAGTGAGTAGTATTATAATTATTATTAATTTTTGATTAATTTATAATTATCATTTATAATTATCTTCAGCTGAAAGAGAATATCCATGGAATATACCATTTAAAACGATGGAATTTCAAACACGCTTACCAACACCGTGTAGTCCTCTGCATCGGCTTAATGTAAGTCATTCCTTAAATACTCTATAATTTCAAAGTTTTAATATTGAATATATTCTCATGTATTTTGATTGATCCAAACGCGTCGATGTATAGGGTGTCTTAGAATTGACAATCTATTTCAATGAAATCGGGTAATTTAAAAAAAAAAATATACACAATTTTATTTTAATCAACTCACCCCAATCAAGAAAATAATGCCACTGAGACACAAGGGACTTTTGGAAGTGAAAGAGAATTAGAAGAAACCCGAAACCTACTCCTAAAGAGGAAGCAAGAGGTAAACCTCTGCTTCTGTTCAAAACAATGGGAAGGAGTGTGAACTGGGTGATAGAGAGCTTGAGGCCTTGTGCCTCACTTGCTATTATTAAATCATCACTTTCAGCAGTAACGCAAAAGCTCCCTCCACTTTCAATAATTCAATAATTACACTTTGACGGACTGGCCGGTGATCTTCCTCTTCAATTGGCAAGCTACAAAAAGATTACAAATCTGGTTTCGTTTTTTACTTCATTCGAAAGTGAGAACCCACTTCATGCGTTTTCCAATTTCAATGCATTAATAATTTCAGTCTCATGATGAGCTTCCTCTCCTGGCGATAGACTGTTGAATGATTACAACTCTGGTTTCATTTCGAGCGTTCTCGCCTCGTTTTCGATGTTGGTTGGAGAGAGAATAAGAGTCTGAGTTTGTTCCCCGTTTCATTCTGCCTGGTTGCTTATTTTACATATATGTTTACTACACCTGTACAGGTCTTTATTTCATCTCCCAACATCTATTTTCAAAGATGGTCAGAATTTGGGCTTAAAAGTCTCAAGCATGATTCTCAATAAAAATAAATAAATAAAAATTTATTTCTTCCATTTTGTCTCCAAAAACCAAAAGACAGCAAATATAACTCTTAAAGCTTTTGGTATTGAATCCTCTATAATAAAATTCTTTACTTCTTAGACAGGAACTTCAATAGAGCCAATTATTTCTCCTTCTTCAATCCCACCACATTTTTTAAGTTTCATTTCATTGGAAATCTCAACAGAAAACAATGTGGCACAAGCGCCAGTTGAACTCACACCGTCTCTATATGAGATGTTCTTTTTTATGACCAGTGTCATTCAACTTTTGCATAAATTGGATCTTTTATTTAATTTGTCCGTTATGCAACTCAGACAAATTCAAATAAAGGATATAATGGCCACGGTTACGATGTGAGACACAACAATGTGACATTTCAGAATAGTTTATTACAAACAACTGTAATTTCGACGAACATCTTAAGGTGAACATTTTGAAAATATATTCGGATGGGATTACCATTTTCCCTTTTAAATTGGGGAACTCGTTGATTTGGGATAGGGTCTGTGCCGATACATTTTCGATCGGTAATTTCATCAGGTCCGCGATTGAGCCTGGGGTCTGTCGTACGGGACGCAGAGAAAAAAAAAAAAAAAATAGTTAAATATTCTTCTCTTGCGGACAGATTTATTTTTACTCCAGTGATAGTGGAGATCTCTGTGGTTATTGGTCCTCGTTCGATGGCGTTCATTTGGAGGGTTGGCGGGATTGAGTCTCGATTAAGGGACGAGCCTCGTGAAATGGAGTGGCTCTTGTAGCGTGTCTCACTGGCGATGGTTCGAGGTAATGCTTTCTCCATAAATTGCGGCTGTCAGAGGAAAGCAACAACAAAAAACTGAAAAAAAAACATTTTGTTTATAGAGACTTTATTCAGAATCTACCGACCTTGCGATACTTAAAACGCATGAGAATAGTTACGTATGCAAACTACTAACTTTTCGCCCTGGGAGAATGATCATGCGCAAAATGATGGTGATCGAGCTCATCCGTGAATTTTCCGTTAGTTGATAATTTGATAAGTTACTAAGATGAATTAATCAAACACCTTAATATAAATCTTATGGAACTCTTCTGACAGGAGAGTTCCATAAGATTTATATCAAGATTTTTTTTTTAAGATTTATGTCAAATTATCAACTAACGGAAAATTCCCTGGTGACCTCGATCATCAATATCTTGAGCACGTTTCAATTGCATACCATGCACCCTGACTGCGTTTCATTCGCGTTGACGTATTAATTACAAGTATAGCCGTTTTCGCAAGACAAGTGATATTTTTTGTCATAAAACCTAAATATATGAAAGTGAATTTATACGTTTTCTTTGTCTTTGAGAATTGACAGTAAAAATAATAAGCACTATTTATTAGATTATTTATTTACACTATTTACTATATTATTTTTTTAAATGGTTAGCAAAACACCAGCTAATTGCCAACTGATTGAAACTTTATAAAATAGTAAATAATAAGGATTTCCTTATAGCTGGTTCACATATTTCAATAATTTGGTAAATTCTTATAAATTTATGAATGAAAAATATTTTCATACTTATTTCTTTATAAATTGGTAAATGATAAATACAGTGTAACCCGGATATAAGAGACCCGGATATAAGAGAAACCTGGATATAAGTGAGATTTTCTCTGGTCCCAAATTAGAGCTTGTGTTAATGTAGATTAATGTAAATTAGACCCAGATATAAGAGAAACCCGGATATAAGAGACTTCTTCTCCGGTCCCGACAACTCTCTTATATCCGGGTTACACTGTATTACATTGCATTAGATCTAATCGTATTAGTTTTTAGAATGTTGCAAATATATAATTAGTCTTGTAAATAAACAATCTAATAAGTAAATAGTTTAATATTTTTGTTGTAAATTCACAATAACAAAAATGTATAAATTCACTTTCATTGTGTGTTTAGGTTTTGTTCCAATTCTAATCATCGCTTTTTATAAAAACAGACATTGCCGAAAAGTGAAGGAAGTTAGAAAAGCGGTGTCATGGAAAAAAAACCGTCTTTTTGACTCTACGTTTCATTTGAAATATTGTTCAAAATTTAAATAAAAATGTCAATATGCAAAAATAAAAAAATGTGAAAATAATAAATGAAAAGTGTCTTTTTCAAATTTTAGGTTTGCTGATGCTGTAAAAGAAGGACAATTACAGTGAGTAATTTAAATATCTATATTCTTGCTGGTCACACACAACTGACACCCACACATATATGTTCAAGGCAGAACCTACACCTCCGTGCACACACCGCAACTAATTTCTCCCGGTCAATTATATCTTGATAGAATGTAAGATGCACAAAAAAATGTAGCAACTATTATCGGGCACAAAATCTTAACATGTTCTTCAAAAATTTACCTACTGCTCAAATAATAGGTTATCTGAAGAAAAGAAAAATACTTTCAACTTCTATAGAAAATAGAGCTTGGATTTTGAAACATACAGCTTATGTTTTCAAATATTTGAACTATATAATTTGAATTGTTTTGAAAACAATTTTAAAACCTCACAACCACTTGAAACGTTTTGAAACATTCCTTAATACAAATCCAGTTTCGGCATTAAATAACCCACAGAGGTTTTGATATGCTGCTAAAACACATAAACAATCAATCTGTTGGTGATATCTGAGGGTAATGTTACGGCTCGCAGTGTTGTGGCGGACTTCACCACATTAATTGAACTTTTGATTATGAAACAAGGCTCACATAAGAAGGATAACCAAAAGACATTGTTACACATAAAACATTTAAACAAGATGTGCAATATGAAACAACGATGTGAGAGTAGACATGCATTTAAGTATGAAAGGTTGAATTAACTGTTATTTTAGAGTTCAGATAGTTATTTGGTTTAAAGTTCACTGGAAAAAATGTTCTTGAGAGTCTCTTTTAATGATTGTTCTTGAAAGATATTGTTGTGTAAGAATAGTTTTTTTTGTGAGTTTGTACAAGTTATGTTCAGTATGCGTGTGTGTGTTTTTGTGTGTGTGAGTGGGAAGGTTGGCGCATGGTTTCAACTGTCGTGGATTCGTTTGGTAGTTGAATTCTCACTAATTGAAATTAGAAAAATCTTGGCTTAAATAAATGACTATAGGCTCCAAATCGTTGCGCGGGAAAAATTATACTTCATGTGCAAACGATCTGTTTGGTTGGCATCGACCAATCAGCGATCGAGTTTTGGGGAGACTTAAGAAAGCTTCTATGTCCCGCTTCTCCCAAAAGTGCACAAAATTGACTACTTAAAAATAGAGCTATTACAAAACTGACGCATTACTGCGATTTGTAAATTGCCTGTAGAAATGTAGTGGTGATTTATTAGCCAATGAATGCTTGGCAATGTGAATGTGATTTGTATGTTTGTATGTATGCATGTTCGTGCGTACTAGATCCGGACAATGTGTATCGTCAAGCCGAATTCACATTCCGGCCTAGTAATCTAATTTTCACTTAATCTCTATTCGTCAGTATGTCTTATTAGTCATGGAAAGCACCTATCTATATATAAAATTCTGTGATCTCCGTTAGTCCGTCCGTCACATCATCTAAAATAGCCATACATTGACCGATCAAAACCAAATTTTTGGGGAGAAGTGCAAACAGGTAAGGGGTACAAAGTACAGTTGATTTTATTTTTTTAAATTAAAAATTTTATGATTTAACATACAAAAATACGCCCACTATTTTAAAAAGAGTTTAATGATTACAATAACAAATATATATTTGATAAAAATGCAATATTGATTTTGCATATCTTCTTTTTTCTTTTTCTTCCGCAAGAGACGTAATAACGATAATATTCTGACTGGGAATGTGCGGTTATCTCCCTTTTACCTTCTATATATGTTTTTTTATTTTTTTATTTTTTTTTTTTAAATGTATTTTTCATCATATAAAATTTGGTGAGCCGAGAGCAAATTTTCATTCTGAAAATGCGACCCAAAGAAAATAAAGTTTAGGAACCACTGCTTTAATACCACGGACGGAACAGAATAACTGAAAAAAAAAAAGGAATGACAAATATGCATTGTTCTCAAAAAGATTTTTTGACACCGCCACAACAAACAGTATGAAAGCGTCGAAAGATATAAAGGTTTTTAATTTTAATATTGCCCAAAAGACAGAACAACCAGACTATTGGTATTTTCTGTCTTCTTCGTGACACCATGTGGGTTCTCTTGTTCTCCCTGCCACTGTTGTCTTGTGAGGAAGTCTAATGTCCCAGTGGTCTCACCTTACCTGCCTTTAATTCATCTTTACAAAAGGGAGGTAACCGTCTTTTGCAACCCTACAATTTGATGGAAAGAAATTAGAATTTTGCCTAATTAAAGGTTCCTCTCTACTGATTGCTTAATCAGGGCCGGTGCAATGGTCTCTCCCGAATCTATGATATGCCCCTCTCATTCTACTACATCTCAGTTGTCATAAGGTAGTATTCATATAGAATATAAATTTTATAACTTGATTATGTACAATAAAGGATCATCTATCTATCTATATGATATTAGAAGTCTGTGATTCGTGCTTGCGTGGTAGGTCGTCTGTCCGGCGCATAATAATGATTTAAGTTTTCTTTCCACCTCTCTGTGATTGCGTGCGTGCTTATTTATATTTCAGCTTTCTCCTTTTTTTAAAACTAGGTACTTCCACGAGATCGCTAAAAAATCAGCATAGCTTGATGAAACGGGCTCTAAGCGTATGGAAAACATAGTTTTATTGTCAAAATCGTTATGTTATTACTAAGAGGAGGGATCAAAGTATTTTTTGATTATTTGAGTAAAGTTTTTACTCCTTTTTAGAACATTTGAAATTTTGATTAAAAACTTGTTTTTCTTGCGTCTGAGGTTGTACTAACTTTAAGTATAAAAGTTTTTTCGGTGATAGACACATTAATTTGGAAATTCTTGCAAAAATCAAATAATTGTTGGACTTTTCAGGACTTATACACAAACGAATGGAATTATTTTTGAAATTTTTTATTAGAAAATCTTGGTTAAATATTTTTTTATTTTACATGTGTTTCTCCCCCTTACTTAATTTTATGAAAGCTTGCGAAATTCATCGAGTTAATTTTTAGTAACTATATTAGCTGAAAGCAGAATTTGTTGAAGAATTTAAATTAGCGATTTTTTTTTGATTTTTTTTTTCATGCAAACTCGGACCTAGTCTTACCGGAAATCTGTTCTAAACCAAAAAATTAAAAAAATGCTATAAAACTAAATCATTATTTAATTATAGAATTATTTAATTGCTTTTATCAATAATATATATATATAAAAACAATATTGTCTGAAGAAAAAAAATATTTTTGATGAAAAATGAACTTTTACAAGATTTGTTTTCTTTTCATTCTTTACAATTTAAAATCGAATAATTTATAAAGTTTTTGAATCTTTTAAAGTTTAATTTCGATGAGATAATTCATACAAAATATTGCTATTAAGTACAACGAAATTTACTAATAATATATTTCAAAGCTTATTACAATCTGAAGTCCCGCTTGAAAAGCGGTGTCATGGAAAAAAACTTTTTTTTTGACTCTACGTTTCATTTGAAATATTGTTCAAAATTTAAAAAAAATGTCAATATTCAAAAAAAAAAAAAATGTGAAAATAATAAATGAAAAGTGTCTTTTTCAAATTTTAGGTTTGCTGATGCTGTAAAAGAAGGACAATTACAGTGAGTAATTTAAATATCTATATTCTTGCTGGTCACACACAACTGACACCCACACATATATGTTCAAGGCAGAACCTACACCTCCGTGCACACACCGCAACTAATTTCTCCCGGTCAATTATATCTTGATAGAATGTAAGATGCACAAAAAAATGTAGCAACTATTATCGGGCACAAAATCTTAACATGTTCTTCAAAAATTTACCTACTGCCCAAATAATAGGTTATCTGAAGAAAAGAAAATACTTTCAACTTCTATAGAAAATAGAGCTTGGATTTTGAAACATACAGCTTATGTTTTCAAATATTCCCGAACTATATAATTTGAATTGTTTTGAAAACAATTTTAAAACCTCACAATCATTTGAAACGTTTTGAAACATTCCTGAATACAAATCCAGTTTCGGCATTAAATAACCCACAGAGGTTTTGATATGCTGCTAAAACACATAATCAATCTGTTGGTGATATCTGAGGGTAATGTTACGGCTCGCAGTGTTGTGGCGGACTTCACCACATTAATTGAACTTTTGATTATGAAACAAGGCTCACATAAGAAGGTTAACCAAAAGACATTGTTACACATAAAACATTTAAACAAGATGTGCAATATGAAACAACGATGTGAGAGTAGACATGCATTTAAGTAAGAAAGGTTGAATTAACGAAGAGTTGCCTCTCTTTATCTGTTATTTTAGAGTTCAGATAGTTATTTGGTTTAAAGTTCACTGGAAAAAATGTTCTTGAGAGTCTCTTTTAATGATTGTTCTTGAAAGATATTGTTGTGTAAGAATAGTTTTTTTTTGTGAGTGTGTACAAGTTATGTTCAGTATGCGTGTGTGTGTGTGTGTTTGTGTGTGTGTGAGTGGGAAGGTTGGCGCATGGTTTCAACTGTCGTGGATTCGTTTGGTAGTTGAATTCTCACTAATTGAAATTAGAAAAATCTTGGCTTAAATAAATGACTATAGGCTCCAAATCGTTGCGCGGGAAAAATTATACTTCATGTGCAAACGATCTGTTTGGTTGGCATCGACCAATCAGCGATCGAGCTTTGGGGTGACTTAAGAAAGCTTCTATGGTCTGCTTCTCCCAAAAGTGCACAAAATTGACTACTTAAAAATAGAGCTATTACAAAACTGACGCATTACTGCGATTTGTAAATTGCCTGTAGAAATGTAGTGGTGATTTATTAGCCAATGAATGCTTGTCAATGTGAATGTGATTTGTATGTTTGTATGTATGCATGTTCGTGCGTACTAGATCCGGACAATGTGTATCGTCAAGCCGAATTCACATTCCGGCCTAGTAATCTAATTTTCACTTAATCTCTATTCGTCAGTATGTCTTATTAGTCATGGAAAGCACCTATCTATATATAAAATTCTGTGATCTCCGTTAGTCCGTCCGTCACATCATCTAAAATAGCCATACATTGACCGATCAAAACCAAATTTTGGGGAGAAGTGCAAACAGGTAAGGGGGTACAAAGTACAGTTGATTTTATTTTTTTTTAAATTAAAAATTTTATGATTTAACATACAAAATACGCCCACTATTTTAAAAAGAGTTTAATGATTAAAATAACAAATATATATTTGATAAAAATGCAATATTGATTTTGCATATCTTCTTTTTTCTTTTTCTTCCGCAAGAGACGTAATAACGATAATATTCTGACTGGGAATGCGCGGTTATCTCCCTTTTACCTTCTATATATGTTTATTTATTTTTTTATTTTTTTTTAAATGTTTTTTTTTTTTGAGAGCAAATTTTTTTTTTTTTGCGACCAAAGAAATGTTTAGGAACCACTTTTAATACCACGGACGGAACAGAATAACTGAAAAAAAAAGGAATGACAAATATGCAAATTTTTTTGAAAGCGTCGAAAGATATAAAGGTTTTTAATTTTATTGCCCAAAATTCCAGAAAATGACACCATGTGGGTTCTCTTGTTCTCCCTGCCACTGTTGTCTTGTGTGAGGAAGTCTAATGTCCCAGTGGTCTCACCTTACCAAAAAGAAAATAAAGTTTAGGAACCACAATGGTCTCTTTAATACCTAGGGACGGAACAGAATATAAAATAACTTGATTATGTAAAAAAAAAAGTCTGTGATGACAAATATTTGTTTTCTTTGTTCTCAAAATTGCGTGCGTGCTTATTTATATTTCAGCTTTCTCCTTTTTTTAAAACACTTCCACGAGATCGCTAAAAATCCATAGCTTGATGAAACGGGCTCTAAGCGTATGGAAAACAGTTTTATTGAAAATCGTTAAGACATAAAAGTATTTTTTTTATTTTAAAGTTTTTACTCCTTTTTTAGAACATTTGAAATTTTGATTAAAAACTTGTTTTTCTTGCGTCTGAACTAACCAGACTAAAAGTTTTTTCGGTGATAGACACATTAATTTTTCAAATAATTGTTGGACTTTTTCAGGACTTTACACAAACGAATGGAATTATTTTTGAAATTTTTATTAGAAAATCTTGGTTAAATATTTGGGTTTTCTCTTTTTTATGAAAGAAAAAGTTAATTTTTAGTAACTATAAAATTTGTTGAAGAAAATAAGATTTTTTTTTGATTTTTTTCATGCAAACTCGACCTAGTTTACCGGAAATCTGTTCTAAACCAAAAATTAAAAAAATGCTATAAAACTAAATCATTATTTAATTATAGAATTATTTAATTGCTTTTATCAATTATATATATAAAAACAATATTGTCTGAAGAAAAAATATTTTGATGAAAAATGAATTTTACAAGATTTGTTTTTTTTCATTCTTTAATTTAAAATAATAATTTATAAAGTTTTGAATCTTTTAAAGTTTAATTTCGATGAGATAATTCATATACAAAAAATATTGCTATTAAGTACAACGAAATTTACTAATAATAATTTGCTTATTAAATCTGAAGTCCCGAAAGAAAGCGATTTTTTTATATATTTTCATTTTACAAACCGATAAATCAATTTTAAAAGGTTAATTACAAAAAAAACAAACCTAATAAAATTTATCGTCTGTTAAACCTTACTTAACTATGAACACGTTCGGCGGTTAATCCGAAGTCAATAAATCGATGAACACGTAAGAAAAACAAAACTCCGTAGTTAAGAAATGCTTGAATACAACATTTTATGCTATAAATAAGTAATATTTGTTTCAATTCAGATTAACTTAACTTAAATTTGCTAATTTTCCTCAACTAACGTTTCAGAAATATATATTTTATTTTTGCAAGATTTCTAAATGGAAGATAAATTTTTGTTTATAAATGTCTAAAAATGGCTGACGTTATCGATTTTACTGAAAAAAAAAATGCAAGTCTATTCAGATCAATTTTCTGTTTGAAATGTACCAAAGTATTTTGCTTACCGGATATAATAACTTTAATCATTTAGCTTTCATTTAAAGCTAAATTGAAAGCTTAAAGAAAGCGTTTTCATTTTTCAAAATTAATTTCAAACCTTACATTTACCCAATTCGTGGAGATACCTACTTTAAACAAACAATATTTTAAATATTTTTAAAATATTGCTTGCCATATTTAAAAAATATTTTCAAGTGAATATGATTTTAAAATATTTTGACATATTAAGAAAATAATTTTGATTTAATCTTATTTAAAACATATTTTAAGTGAATAAGATTTAAAAATACGAGTTGTTTATACAATAAGTATTTTTACTTCAACTTTATTCAAACAAACAACTTTTTTAATGCTGAAATCAACTTCAATGTTTTACAACCTGAACTGTCAGTGACCCAATGGATCAGGTGTAGTCTAGTATGCAATATAAGTGAACAATTCAACTAGAAAATTGAAAATAAATACAATTTATCTAAATACAGATGAGAAACATGTCATAATAATAAACATTCCATTTTAAATAAATCAACAACTTTTTACTTCAATTTTTAAAATCAACTTGAGATTTTTCTTGTTAAAAAGTTGAATAATTTAACACGTTCAACATTATCGATTAAAAATAGTAAATTTTAACAAATTCAGCATTATTGATACGAAGAATAGTGTATTTTATATTGTGTTTTTTCGAAAGCAAAACAAATTCACGGATTTTGACGAAAAAAAGCCACCAGAATGACGTCAAAATCAGCGAAAGTTTTCATCCTTTAATAGTCATTTGTGTTTAGTTTAATCTGTTACGTATATAAATGTAGGTAGAAACAAGCAAGTCTTGATAAGATAGCGAGGGTCACGAAGTACTATCTGGGGCTACTAATCCGGCTTCAACCTGCCTGGCTGTGAAAGTAACGGAGTATAACTGTAACATGATACTTGGAGAGAAAAAAAAGACTTTCATCAAGTAATCTCACTTGCTCTTTGATTTACTTAGTTATTCCTTTTTGGAACTAAGTAAGAAGAAAAAGTAGAAATTGAATGCAGAGCCAGTCTTTCAGATAATTAGAAACAATGACGTAAAAAATCAACGTTTGAAATTCTAACTTTATACGTGAGCTTGAAATCTGTGGCAAGTATGTGAAAAAGGCAACTATACCACACACGAAGTAAACATCATTTCTGATGATGTACAGTGTCTGATCTTCATCCATCGGTATATGTATAGAATCAGTTTACCCGGATCTTAGGTGGAAAAATAAAATCTGAGTGTCGTGTCCACAAATACAACACAAAATAAAAACAAAATAAGGAAATGCTCTTCGCAGAAGATGAAGAAAACCAAGCCAAATAGGACAATAATATTTATACAGTAGATACATATATTTACATAGTAGAATACAATGGTCTTTGTTTTGGTCATGAAGAGACCAATAGTTCGATGTGATTTGTTGCACGTGAGTCTGCAAAGTTTCGAAGTTATTTTGTTGCAAGTGAGTCTGCAAAGTTCAAAGTAATGTATGCCAATATGGATGTGTGAAGCATACGCTAATGAAACATATGTGTGACTGATTTCGTGCGATATCAGTAACTTGAAAACTGTGAACAAGAAGTGTTGAGATAAGACTTACTTCACCATGGCTTTGTATGTAGAAAAATCATCGCTGACTGACGCGTTCTGATGGCAACGTGTATCGAGGCTGGACTGGTTCACTGACTGTTCCGTTTCGTAGATGTGTCCCCTGATTGTTCTGTTTCAGATATCCGCCTGGTTGTTGCTCATATGGCGTTTTTATGGCTTATGGCGAGTCGGTGACCGCGTCTTTAAATTTCAAGTCGTTGGTTTTCTTAGGCAAAATATAGTTAAACTTAGTATATTCTGCTGTGGAATAGGCGAACCTTTTTGTGATCAGCCCAACTTGCACAAACCGTATTGTATAAATCCTCGTAAAGTTTAAAGTACGAAGCGAATGTAATTTCTTCTTCAGAACGTGTAATTTCTTCTTCAAACGTGAAGTTTTCAATAGCACTCCATATAGCATTTTGAGAGAATGCGTTTTCGCTGTCCTCATTTTGGCTTTTGATGGATATATTATACAAGTGCCTTTGCTCATTCTGTGTTTGAAGGAGCATTTATTCCAGTTTCTGTTATCTACCCTGAATTTCTAGATGCAATTCTTTAAATTTCTTCTAGTATTCTGCTTATTCTCGTTGGGATTTTAGTTGTTGTTCTTGATGGTATTTCATCCACTCTAGCATTGTACTTTTAAATTCGTCGATTTTACTGCGTAAAATTAAGAAATGAGATGGGGGATTTTTTTTCTCTTTACCCTCTTAACCAACAATAAGTCTGTTTGACTTGCATGATTCTTTTACTGAAAAATTTAAAAGCAGGAGAGGGAGTAAATTTAAAAAAATTTAAAAGAGGGAGTAAATTTTTATTTTACCCTATTAGCGAAAACAATAAGTCTGTTTGACTTGTACAGTTCTTTTAATGACTTGTTGGAATGGAAAAAAAAAACAAGGTTCACCAACTTTCTTCCCAACCACTGAATTAAACTTGTAGAAATTCCATCCTTTTGGGGAGATTCCTTTTTTCACTGTCAGTGTTGTAATTAACACTAGTTACCCTTTTGTCGGAGAGTTTGATTAGAATTCCTTTCTTCACCAATGTTGTAGACACTGGCAAAAAAAAATTTTATGATTTAACGTGAAGTCCGTTTCTTCGAATCCTTCGTTGTCAAGGTGTTATGACCAAATAAATGTTTAAAGAAATAGCAAAACCAGAGTTGCAGATATATTATATATTAAACAGTAAGTACAACAGAAGAGTAGTACATGACTAGTGAGTGTGTGTCGGTTGACCCAGCGTTCAATCTATTCGACTGTTAATATTTAACAGCCCCCCTACGAGGAATGTATGTGGCACAAGGCCAAGTTTACCCTGGGTTCTCGGCCAAAAATATTCCCTTAGAACCCGTATAAACAGGTTCAGGGCCTGTCTACCTCCCCGGACGAAACTTTGGCCTTCGGAACAATCTGTGCGACTGTTATATAACAACCCGTCCCACGAGGGATGTATGTGGCACAAAGCCGAGTTTACCATAGGTTTTCCGAGCCCATAGGCTCGGCCAAAAATATTCCCTTAAAACCCGTATAAACGGGTTCAGGGCCTGCCTACATCCCCGGACGAAGCTTTGCCGCAGAGACAAAGAGTTCGACAGGAATGAACAGTCTAAGCGACTGTTATATTTAACAGTCCCCCCACAAGGAATGTATGTGGCACAAGGCCGAATTTAATGTGGGTTTCTCCGAGCCCGTATGCTCGGCCAAAAATATTCCCTTTGAACCCGTATAAGCGGGTTCAGGGACTGTCTACCTCTCCGGACGAAATTTGCCCTGCGGCAAAACTTCGTCCGAGTTTCTCTCTGCCGAGGCAGAGACTTCGACAGAAATGAACAGTCTGGCCTTCTCTCCTACTAATCTTATAGTAGGCACAAGAGTCCAACATAGATTCTTTAGAGGGAGGACACCACAACAAATACAAATACATTGCATGCAATGGATTTAGATCTGTTTAACGATGTGATATCAAAAATGACGTCTTTTTATTCAGACAGCACTACGATAACTCAAACTTTTTTTTTTGATAGATTTCCTCCATGATAATTGTATTTTTTACAACTGATTATTCGACATATTTACTACACTTTATTCAGATAAGAGCATGCTAATTCAAACGTTTTCTTCTGATAGTTTTCCATCGCAAATAAATTTAAAATTTATTTCGAACGGACAGATTCAGTAATAAACGTTATAATCTTGTTTTATAAACGTATTATCGTGTAAATCTTTTATTTCAATTGATAAATTCATTTGCAGAATAACAGACAAATCAACTGATGCAATATATTATAATCTTCGTGGAAGAAGTGAAATCATTGAAAAAATTGAAAGAAGGGAATTGTACGTCAGCCTTGGTGGTATACCAAAACATAAACTGGTGAGTAGGAATTTTTAATACTTGTAAGTATTAAGAAAGTCCTGTTGCATTATAGATAAGATCACTTTGACGGTAAATTTTCAATATTTACATTCGTTTAAAGATTTTGGGCAAAGATTATGACAAATATAATATCTTAAAATCGATTTGAGTTTATTTCGAAAGTAGTACAATTAATGAATGTATTTTTGTATTTTGAAGTTGTGAAATCTGTGAAATTGCAATCTTGTCATATTTGAAGCCTTTAAACACGCCTGAGTAGAGAAATTATTAAAATTAAACTAATAGCTAATTATTGGCTCATTTACTTTCAAACTTAATCTTGAAAATGGAAATTCACAGTTAAAATATTTCTTTGTGCTTGAAATTTGTAAAATTTTTAAATCAATAATAAATTACTTTTTTTTATTATACTATCCATCGATCCAATGTTAATTTTTTAATACCATGTCACCTTTAATATTATAGCTTTATTTTATGACGATAGGAGTTAAACGCTACTTTTTCTATCAGTGGAAAAATTAAATTACTACCGAAATGATAAAAAAAAAAAATTTTTAAATCAATAATAAACCATTACTGTCAGATACGGCATATCGCTGCTACGGTCGGCAACTCCCCGACCTCCGGGCCACATCCGCCCCGCCAACTTAACACCGGTATACTAATTGTCTAAGTAATTTCCGGAGCAAGTGACAGAAAAAAAAATATCAGATGGAGTTAATTTACTTAAAAATCAAAACTTCATTCCGAATCTACTGTTGAATTCTACAAGAAATAGGATTTTGCCAAGCGGAAAATATTAAAAAAAAAAACAAAAACAATTGAATAATACGAAAAGGTATCATTATTTGGAAGTACATATGCATGTGAACTACTTTTTTCGAAAACAAAATATACTAAAAGCCATTTAAGAACAAGGTTGGATGATGTCCACCTGGATAATGTTTTGTCATCGATAAATATTTCACCTGGTGTGGAGAAATTATCAAACAACAAGCAGAACCAAGTGTTTCATTAAATAATTTGTCATTTCTAACTGTATTTCATTTGTAGTAAGAAATTTTCATTTTTTATTGATTGTGTCAGTTAACCTGTTATTCCTGCAGTAAAATAAGGAACCTTATTTAAATAATATCACATTAACTTTGTTGTTTTTTTTTTTCTTTAAACGTCCGGACCAAGGCAGCCTCCTGGACGGAGCGACCGAAAGTCGAGACAATTTATTTTTTATACATTTGATATCATGGCCCTCTTTCGAGACACAGCATAGCTGTTTGACCAGCTCTCTCCAAAAGGTCTAGAGATTCTGCTATGTATTTAGAGATCCTTAATAAATTTCAAAGATATGAAAAAATATAGGGGAAAAGAGAAACTATTATTGTTTGTAGGTTCGGTTAAAAAAGATTGAGGAAACCGGACATCAATATGGAGCACCATAAAAATGACGAAATATACTCAGTGAGATATAAAACCAAAACAAATTTATTAAAATATAAAAAAAAAAGTAAATTTTGTTAAATGTTAGCGTTCCCCAAATTTTATGGTTTGTGCTCCTGGAAAAAGAGAATAATACATTTCTGGACAAGTAACTTTATTTTTTTTTCTATAATAAGGCTTAACGGTAGTTGTAAGAAAAAGATCAAGCTTACAATCAGCTAGCAGTTAGGTCTCATCATCTTACGTTTGAAATGGTTAGACGTATCCTTAAGTTTTATTCTAACAGTTTCTTCTCTCGCATTTCTCAATTGTGGAACTCATCTCCGGCTTTTTGATTCCTAGTGAACTTTGATCATCAAAAATTTAAATGCAATGTCAATCTTAATTTTTGTTCTCTTATTGTCCTCTCTCATTAATAGTAGTTTTTCTCATATGCTCTAACACTCAGTAATCTATTGCGTCCTAGTGGCTTTATTGCCTTGATTGGGGTGAAATGATTATAAATAATAATAATAATATAAGACAGAACGTCCTTTCGGTTTGATTTTAACATCGGTTTGGCAGACAAGGCAACACGTGGATACCAATTTTTCACGCGGGCAAAGATTTAATTACTATCACTAATCAACTTTAACTGCAATCATGCTGGACATTTATTAAGACCCCAGAATTTAGGTTTACTGAAAATGCGCAGTAATACAAGATTACACAATATCAAGATAGTAGACATTATCAGATAAGACTTCTTTTTTTTTTTTTTAATGAATTAAATTTTAGAATCTGTTTTTTTGTCGTTGAACCCATCATTAAGGTACAGAGTAGCAGAGAAGTAACGAGGCTTAAATCTCGGTTTTTGGGAGAAAAATATTCCAGCGCGTATATAAACTGAGGAATGTGTGTTTACTATTATTATTGTCCTATTGTGCTTGTCTTGCCTTTCATTAGTTAGCATAACCGTTACGTCCCGCCAACACCTCATAAATAATTGATTATTCCGCGTTATCATCGCGTGGAAAGAGGGGAAAACACTACTTGGTTTTCGGATGCACAATATCGAACGACGGAAATCGAATAAGACAATCGTTAAAATCCAGTTACCATAAATAAAATAACATCGTTTGGAACATTTTCTTAAAATTCTAAGAAAATTAAGATGGTAATGTGAACAGAAACTAAATCTTGAAAGAAAGAAAGAAAGAAAAAGAAAGAAAGAAAGAAAGAAAGAAAGAAAGAAAGAATGAAAAAAAAAGAAAGAAAAAAAAGAAAGAATGAAAGAAAGGGAATTTAGAATTGTTTAACGGCCCCCCTCATAAATAATGGACTATTTCGTTTTGATTGCGTAGAAGAACAAGTCATCCGAATGAAAGAAAGAAAGGAAAGAAAGAAAGAAAGAAAGAAGGGAAGAAAGAATGAAAGAAAGAAAAAAAAGAAAGAAAGAATGAAAGAAGGGAAGATAGAAGTGTTTAACGGCTCCTACTACTAGCTCATAAATAATGGACTATTTCGTTTTGATTGCGTAGAAGAACAAATCATCCGAATGAAAGAAAGAAAGGAAAGAAAGAAAGAAATCTTCAAAGAATGAATGAAAGAAAAAAAAAAAGAATGAAGGAAAAAAGGAAGAAACTGCCACTACTAGCTCATAAATAATGGACTATTTCGTTTTGATTGCGTAGAAGAACAAGTCATCCGAATGAAAGAAAGAAAGGAAGTTGCGCTCTGAAAAGAAAGAAGGAAGAAAGAAGAAAAAATGAGAAAGAAAAATTAGAAGTTTATTCACCCAATGGCATAAATAATGGACTATTTTTGTTTTGATTCCCAACAAGTCATCCGAATGAAAGAAAGAAACAAAGAAAGAAAGAAAGAAGGGAAGAAAGAATGAAAGAAAGAAAAAAAGAAAGAAATAAGAAACAAGGGAAGATAAAAATCCAGTTACCATAAATAATGGACTATTTCGTTTGATTGAATAGATTTTCTTAAATCCGAATGAAAGAAAAAATGAAAGAAAGAAAGAAACGGAGGGTGGAAAGAAAGAAAAAAGAAAAAAGAAAGAAAAGAATGAAAAATAATGGACTATTCCGGTTTTGATTAGCGTAAAATAAAAATGGATAATTTCCAAATGAAAGAAAGAAAAACAAGTCATCCGAATGAAAGAAAGAAAGAAAGAAAGAAAGAAAGAAAGAAAGAAAGAAAGAAAGAAAGAAAGAAGGGAAGATAGAAGTGTTTAACGGCTCCTACTACTACCTCAAAAATAATGGACTATTCCGTTTTGATTGCGTAGAAAAACAAGACATCCGAATGAAAGAAAGAAAGAAAGAAAGGAAGAAAAAAGGGAAGAAAGAAAGAATGAAAGAAAGAAAAAAAGAAAGAAAGGGAGATATAAATGTTTAACGGTTGTTTCAGTGAAATAAAAAGTTGTTTATTTCAAATCTATTCATTTGTACCCACTTCTTAAAATAACGACTTACATTCATATTTATTATTATTTTATTATTATTATTATTGCAATATTTTGTTAAAGTTGTTAAGCTCAAATATTTAACGATGCAACAGGGGAATTTTTAGAAATGTTTATTGTCATAGAACTCGCCAGCAACTTATTTAATCATTAACTGAAGAATTAAGATTCATCAGAAATTTCGAATAGGAAAACCGTGAAATTTTCACGGGTCTTTCTAGTTATTATTATTATTATTATTATTATTATTATTATTATTATTATTATTATTATTATTTATACATCATCCTTGCATATCCAAAATGTTACTGACTGGTAATGTGTTCAGGTTGATATATTGCAATAACTCATTCATTTTTTCAATTTCATATTTTTCTACTCTGTAGATATTGTCGTATTTTTTTTTTTACCTTGCATCGTGGGTTTCGTTTTCAATAACCCGTAAAGCGTGATATGTTGTGGGATTCCATCAGTTTCCTAACATCAACCTTTCTTCCTGTCCATTTTTAAACTATTTCTTGACTTCCAACTGTTCTCATTATTGCCATAACGTAAGTTCAGTATCGATTTCTTTTTCTTATCTGTTCGGTTTGATGTTTGAAATATTTTTGGGGTGTAGAGCTCTTCGTCTTCATCGCGTTATTCAATTGCCTTCGAATCCAAAGCATTTCTATTCTGATTATTGCCTTTATTTTAACATTTTTAACTGCCGCGGTATAATTATTCTTTTTATATTTTTTCTTTACAGTTCCAGAATACTGATTCAGAAAAAGTAAGTGTGAACATCCTCTTCTCAAGAAAAATGAAAAAAAAAGTAGCATAATAATCTTTATACATTTCCAAGGCATGTATTGTAAGGGCGTCATCATTCGTAAGTTTATTATGTTCAAAACGTACTGAGGTCTCCCAGATTAAATTAAGATTTCAAAATACCTTTATATATTTATTCATAGGAAATTGATAAAAAGCAATGCAAACTCAGTTAAAAAGCAATATTAAAAAATAAATAAATAACAATAATAAAACAATCAAAACTAACCGCCCAGGTATTGTTATTAGACACCGCAAACAAAAAATTGCCTCCTTATTGATATGGCAGTCCCTGCAGACTGCAATGTATCTTTGGTGCTCTTCAAAAAGCTATCAAAATACAAGGACCTTGAAATCGAAATCTCAAAAATATGGCACATGGGATCATCAACAATCTCTGTTGAATTTGGAGCCCTCGGATTGGTCGGAAAAGATTCCAATAGACTCAATGAAGGGATTCCTGGAAACCCATGCCTTAAAGAAATACAAAACATTGTTCTCACGAGTACAGCCCATACCTTACGAAGGGCTTTATCTATGTAAAGAATGTGTGTTTGTTTTTTTTTTTTTTTTTCGTTTTGTTTTTTAGTTGGTCGGTGGTAAATGACATGATGTTTTTTCTGGACGGGGCCCGGAAAGAAATGTGTACACACCAGAAATAACAAGAATAATAATAATTAATAATATTATTATTATTATTATTATTATTATTATTATTATTATTAAAGATTACAGTGAGTTGAAGGGTATCCTCAATACTCTAAAATGTTCCAATGATGACATCAGTATGTGTTTCGAATTAGATCAATGTGCAAAAGTAACATTCAAGTAAGGGAGAATTATAGAAACACACTCAGTAGATGTAGATTTTGTCACAAAGATTAGGGATCTGGAACAAGAAGAAGCCTAGGAGTCAGCGAAGGAGATGGAATAAGTAAATAATACTACAGTTGTGTATGTCTAGTGTTAAATACCAAGTGAGACAGTTGAGGTTTCTAGGGTACATAATGAGAAAGGAGTGCTTGGAAAATCTGATACTCACAGGACAGATTGAAGGAAAGACAAACAGGAAAACAGCGCATGGCACAATGTGCTTCTGTAAATCGATGACGGAACAGGTTTTAGGAGAAATAACAGAGTTACAAAATTTATTAAGAGCTACAAATGACGGGAAATAGTGGTGGGCCATAATCGCCTATGTCCTAAAGGGACACAGCGCATAAAGAGGAAGATTCGTCCATGTCTTGAACATTGCTACCACATCAGACCTAGTGTTCCTGTTGTATATCTTGAGATTCTTGATAAAATCCAAAGAAGAATCAACAATATTATTAGTCCTAACCTGCTATCTGGGCTTCAGTCACTTTCCCACCGCTGTAATGTTACTTCCTTGTATATTTCTTATAAATAGTATCATGGTGATTGTTTGAATGACCTCTTCGGTATTGTACCTAAACTTTATGCATTTGAGCATAGAACTAGATTGGTGGTTAGGTCTCATCAATTTACAGTTGAATTGTCTACATGTGACCGTAAGTTATAGGCTAACAGTTTCTTTTCTCGCACTTCTTGTAGAATTTTGTTGAGTCTCTATGCTGTGCAATAGACTTTGATATTCAAAAATTCAAATCTAATGTCAATCATTTTTCTACTGTCCTTTTGATTACTCGCTCTTTAATAATGTTTTTTTTTTTTTCTTATTCTTCAGTCAGTAACGATTTACAACTTAGTGGCTTTATTGCCAAGCATGGGGTGAAATGATATATATAAAAAAAACATTTAGGGACGGTACTGGGTCTTTTACAGTTTTTTTTCATTATCAATTTACCAGTTCTCCATATTTTGACTTTTCTCTTTTCTTCTTTCATAGACTGGCAACAAAGCCATTGACTTATTTCTGGAGAAATTTAAAGTAAGTATCGACGGATTTTTTTTTTTTTTTTTGTAAAGAAATGAAACAAAATATTTGTTTGACTAAAAAATCTCTTTGATTACATGAATATGTTTAGTAGCTTTAAAAATAAGAATATGCAAAATTATTGGTCCTAACCTGGCATCTTGGTTTTATTCACTTTCCCACGAATGTAATGTTCTTTCCCTGTGTCTTTATTACAAAAATACTTTCATGGTAATTGTTCTGATGAACTTTACTCTATGGAACATAGACTTTATGAATTTAAGCGCAGTACTAGATTAGCGGCAAGGTTTACATTTTGGAGTTGAAATGGTAAGATATAAGCATAATTTCTATGTTAACAGTTTCTTCTATCGCACTTCTTACTTGCGGAACACTCTCCTTGCTTCTTGCTTCCCAGTCAACTTTCATCTGAGAAAAAATATATGCAATGTCAATCGTTATTTTCTGTATCCTTAATTCTTGTTCTTTTATTGTCTTCTTTCTTTAATAGTACATTTTTCTTATATTCTCTAACACTCAGTAACCACTCGTGTCTTAGTGGCTTTATTGGCTTGCTTGGGATGAAATGATTAAAAAAAAAAGCATTTTTAGAAGATGAAAATGAATTAAAATTAAATTTTATGCGCTTAAAACAAAATTGCCATCCTTAATAATTATAGTCGCCCAACAAGAAGTCATTTTTTCGTTCTTTAAGCCTTTAAATGCTAAAAAAATTTTATTTTTTTCTATATTTCTGAACGAAGCATTAAAAACATAATCCAATGCTACAAAAAAAAAAAAGATGATGCAAATTGTGGTTTTCTAGACATAGCTTGGGTGTGGCACAAGAACGAAATTACGAGGCACCCAGTAATAAAATATATAGATTTACTATGCATAACTTAGTTGAGGACTAGATTAAAGAGCACCCAATGAGGTTCGAACTTACTACTCAGTCGTAATGTATCTTTTGAGACAAGGATGTCAACCATTACACCACGTCGAAGTAGCCAAATAATCATGTGAATGGGCTGAAATTGGCGCGTGTTAAAATGCTAAAAATAATACCACGTGTTGAGAGTAGTTTGTTTTTTGTTTTTTTAATTCTTTCCTCTGGGTGGGGATTTGCCTTGCCTTGATGGCTCATAAAAGTGTTACGCTGTAAGAATGCTAATAATTTGAAGAGAGAAAAAGGCTTAAATTAAATCGAAAGTGAACACAGAAGGTAGTAGATAGATTAAAGTCCATACCGAAAACAAAAGAAAATATAAATTTTTTATTACGTGAGTCAACGTCCTCGTTAGAAGTTAACACTGAAATCCACTTGGTCATCTGGTTAAAGTAAGGCCCAAGTGATGATGTGGAGAGGGAATGTGATGACATCCGCGAATCGACCAAGGCTGTTATTTTTAGGCCGAGACTTGCAAGCTAGTCGCAACTAATAATTTTGTGTATACAAGTAGAAGAGAGTAAGAAAATGATTCTATGTCACTTGTTAATAGGGGCGGAAAGTGTGCGTTTTGCTAAAGAAATAAGGTTTCGTTGGATACAATACAGAAACCAAATGACGGTCAATTGGTACGATAACAGTTTGGTCAAGCCTTCTCTGAAGACAAGGAAGGAATTATAATTATCTAAGATGAGAAATCTGGAAAATATCCAATAAAAATTTTTATGGCAAAAGACATTTCTGATGATGTGAATTTGAAATTTTAATTTACGAAGGCGCGCTAGTCATGCCACACAGTTGAGGACCTCAATTTGTGAACGAAAAAGAGTGGGAAAAAACAGACTACGCCCGTATTGAGAGGTGTTAGTGTAAAATACAAATAAGAGAAGGAGGAAGTAAGTGGGACAGGTCGACGCCCTGCTAACATTACTCCCAGAGGAGGGGTTTTTCAAATTGCTTCTCAGTACACTGTCAGCAGAGGGTTCTGATTGGATATTTGGAAAATCCTGGAACCCCAGATCGCGTTGGACCCCACACCGATGTTGAGCGAGGATCCATAAAAGCGTTAGATCGGGCGGGGGGGGGATTAGAGTAGCATTTGAGGCAGAGATGCGCTCCCATTACACTAAGAGGAAACAATCGCTTTGCCGATCCCCATGTTATTTACTGCCACAGAGAACTCCTGACTCATACCTTGTTCCAGACTATTAGATAAATTGAGAAGAGTTCACAGACGAAATTGCAAAATGGAAGAATTGAAAGTCTCTATATAACGACAGAGAGAAAGAGACGAGTGCATCGTTAGCATTTCGTAATTTGCTGCCTGAAGAAGTCTCCAGCTTAAAGTTTGAAACCTCGACTCCGACTTAGAAATGAAGAACAAAGTGCTACGAAATTAGACTACGGGGTAATGATCGTTCACCTGCATGCTTCTAGCTTCTTATTCGAATAAGGTGTTCCTGTATAAACCTCAGTTATATAAACCTTGTTGAGCTACACAATTTTCTTTTTTTGTCTTATAACATCGTCCCACATGAACGACACCAATTCAGCGATACCTGGCGGCAATTCGATCCTTGCCTGTCTTGTGATCAAAACAAACACAACGTGGGACAAGAAGAGGCTTAGATCGAAGTGACCAACTCCACGGTTAGCTGCAGTATTCGATCATGGTCACACCGACTTTGTCATTAGCGCAGGGACCAGAACATACGGCAGCATTATAAAAGTGACAACGGTTTTCACGTATAATGAAACTGATAACACACTCAAGTTGATGACAACAAGATTTATAGCTATAATTTCTTCAAAATCAATATTATTTTTGTGCTAATTTTATCCTCTACACTTCCAGCTTTAATACGTAATACTTCTCTAAAACATGAGCTTCATATGAAAGATATCTGTACATTAGTTTAGATTTCCATATGAAGCCAATATGAAATCTCTACTCGACTTATTCTCTGAGCATGCATTTTTTTTATTCGGATGTAGAATTTATGCGAGCGCACACGTCAACATTTGATTCATTAGATCCGAAAATATAAATCTTATTTGGACAAGACGTTTTACCTTTTCTTTCTCTTTCTTTCATTGAATTCTGCCTCAGTTCATGCAAGAAAAAAGGGAAGTGCTAAGAAAAAAGATTCATCGAGAAGGAGACTCTTTCTTAGAATGCAATTATTCGCAACTTCAACTCATTATTTACATTATTCGGGCTATTTTCCTCATCTTTGTCGCCATATTTATCACTAAACATTTAAAATTTAAATACAATGGCAATCTTCAGGTGGTTGACATTTCGAACTGAATGTTTTTATTCCGCTCACTGGGGTAGACTGTTCTAGTTCCACGTGCCATGTTTGGTGGATGTCAGTTATTAGTTATCTCCTAAAAAATTTCCCTCTGAAATTCTCCACTGCCTTAACCGGGGATTGAACTTACAAACTTTAGGTCCTCTCAATGGATTTTTTTTTCCACTGTGCCATGTGTCCGGACACATGGCACAGTGGATTCATTATCATTCTTCACTTTTGTAGCCAGCCGGCTATCGTTGGCAAAACATTCCCTGACATGTCATTTTCTTTCCGCCCTGATTTTAGCCATGTTTGAATAGAATCTTTCATGTTCTGTGAGGTGTCAATTAAAAATAGTGTATGTGTTTTATATCCAGCAATAGTTACATACAGGACAAGTGCCAGGCGTGAAACCGCAAAACTTTATCTTAATAAAACAATTTAATCGTAAGCCATCGGACCCCTTGCAAAACCCCATTATTAGCTTAACAGAAAAAAATTGATTTTGTTCGATTCGATCAGCTCTGAAGGAGTTCTTATCCGTGCCATATGAAACAGGATTGTCACATGACCACAAAAAATAAAGTTATGTCATATTCTAAGAACTTGCACTCAAATATTGTTTAGTGGAAGATTTACGCTGTTCGCAGGTACAGGATTTTGGAAATAATCTTACTTATTATAAAACGCAGACTCTGAGTGTGTATGTGTGTGTGTGTGTGTGTCCGTTTATATATTGGATCGGATTTCCTACATTTTTCAACCGATTTCAACAAGACTTCAGAGGACTGCGTAAAATTACCTTGCGGTAGTTCTGACAGCGCCAAAAATTGAAAAAACACAATTGTTTTTGCACGAAATCAATTTGAAAACACGATAAAACACGATTCTGTCACCAGAAGGAAAGGGGGACAACTCATATTGAGGTTATACTTTTTATAAAACCCAGGTTGTTTGTTTGTGTGTGTGTGTGTATGTGTTTCCAACATTTTTCAACCGATTTCAACAAAACCACTTTTTTTTGGCAGGTAGTGTTTCTTATTGTCTTGCACAAACCTTTATTTTTACATTCAGAACAGAAAAAAATTCCATTCGCAAGACAATTGTTTATAATAAAATTCTATTCAATCAATAGACTCATAACGATTAAAACAATGTTTTTGTTTGAGTTTGGTTTTGACTAATTGTAAAAAACGACAAAACAAAACAAAAAATAATTAAGACATGCGTATCTGTCAATTCAATAATCTTGTCAATTTTATTTTTCAGTTTTTATAATGGTTTATTTGATCTATCTTTACTGTTACATCCCCGAGCAACAGGGGTTTGTACTAATAATACATAATAAAAACGATTTTGTATTTGTTTCGTCATTACAATTACACCAATGATTATATCAATGGGCTTATATGAAATGTTAACCTACCAAATTAATATCAGACTGTCTTTTATTTTTTTTTTTTTTTTTGCTTTTGCGATATGAGTATCTGAATTTCTTTTTCAGGACGCCAAGGATATTCCCAAGAAAGAAGAACTCAGAGTTGGTGTACGTATTTTGTATATAATAGTGTGTATACATATGAATTAAAACATAAAGAAAAACATCATATCCTATGAAAGAAAGAATGTCTTAAATGGTATATACATTTCAAAAGATATGTCTTAAGTAGAAATTAGTATAATTCTAAATTAGAAAGATAAGAGGATGTACATTTTAATATAATATCTTAAATGGTAATGAATAACCTTCTAAATTAGAAAGATAAAGGAATATATGTTTTAAAAGATATAATGTTTTAAATCGTAATGAGTATCCTTCTATATTAGAAACATGAGAAAACAGACATTTTCAAAGATTCAATCGTAAAGAGTAAGTAGAAAGTTACAATGTTTGTTTTAGAAATCAGATGTTTCGATTTTTAATAAAAAATGTTTCAAATTGCATTTTTCTCACGTTCTAAGTCGTTACGAGTGTCGGCTCAAAATTATATAGGCTAATCAAGATACGCTCATCGAATGTGACCAAATGAGGTTTATTTTTCAACGTCGTCCTTCTTCGGTACACACACGTGTTGCAGTGCTTGAGCTCATTGGTGACGTCACCACCATTGCGATATTGGCTCTTTTCCAAGTGTTGTTGTTTTTTGTTTTTTTTTTTTTTTCATGTCGGGGAACAGATAATAGTCAAATCAGGAGAATAGGGAGATGATCAACCAGTTCAAAACCACAATTATGCACAGCAGCCATTGAAACCAAGGACCTGTATGCTGGCACATTGCCCTGATGAAACATGATCACTTTCGTCAGTTTTTGTGAACGTTCGACCTAGCTAGCCTTTCATAACTCCCTTAGAAAGTTTGTATAGTACTATCTATTGATAGTATAACCCTTTTGAAGATAGTCAATAAACACAATGCTTTTGCATCCCAAAAAACTGTGGCCCTGAAGATAAAACGACCTTAGCCTACTTGGGAGTAAGTAAGGATGGGTGTTTCACTGCACGGATTGTCTCTGTCCCAAAGTGATGAACCAATCACTCATCTTGGTTTAGGAAACGTTCAAAGATACCAGATGCATCTACCTTAAACAATGTCAAATTTTCTTGTCATGTGATCAACCTGTTGCATTTTGATAAGGTGTCGTAAAACATGTTGAACACACCGATTAGAAACCTTCATTATGCCAAGTTCATTGTGTAGATTATTCTCAATTTTCTGACTCGATGATTTATAGTCAATTGCCTATCATCCAACATGATTAATATTTTCCTCTTTGGCGGTAGTCACAAAACTCCCAGAACTTGGGTCATCTTCAAGACCTTCTCTTCTCCTTTTAAATTCAACTGCCCACTTTTGCAATGTTCATAAATCTGAAGTGGCATCCCCTAATATACCAACCATGCCAGCATGTACGTCCTTTGCGCTAAAACTTTTTCTGTGGGTACTTCATAAAACTACGATGCCAATTTTTGTTCATTTTCAAGAGAAGTCGCTACAAGTGAATTCTGAACTCTTCTTTGAACAGTCAGATGTGAGTTTGCCTGGAAAGAAACAATGCAGCTATTAATAAGAAGAGTTCAAATTAATGCATGCAAGTTTACACAGCTCTGCCTTCACTCCTTCAGAGGTTGACTATAAACTTTTCATCCGACCCTCGTAAACTACTCCACACAGAAAAATATAAAAAATAAACTAATTGTTCTTTATTATCTACATTTCTTAACTTAATCTGGAAGATGTAAATTCACAGTAAAAATATTTCTTTCTGCTAGAAATTATTAAAAATCTTTAAATCAATAATAAATTACTAGGTTTATTATACTATCCATCGTAATCAGTATCCTTCTAAATTAGAAAGATGAGAAAGTATAGATTTTGACAGATGTCTTAAAATCGATTTGAGTTTATTTCGAATTAAGGAATGTATTTCTGTATTTTGAAGTTGTTTTTAGAAGACGGAAATATCAATTGAAAAAAAAAGAAATCTGTGAAATTGCAATCTTGTCATATTTGAAGCCTTTAAACACGCCTGAGTAGAGAAATTATTAAAATTAAACTAATTGTTAATTATTGTCTCATTTACTTTCAAACTTAACCTGGAAAATGGAAATTCACAGTTAAAATATTTCTTTCTGCTAGAAATTTGTAAACATCTTTAAATCAATAATAAATTACTTTGTTTATTATACTATCCATCGGTCCAATGTTAATTTTTTCAATGCCATGTCACCTTTGATATTATAGTTTTATTTTAAGACGATAGGAGTTAAACGCTACTTTTTCTATCAGTGGAAAAAATTAAATTACTACCGAAATGATGGCTTATAAATAAGATACGACTGTTATGATGCAATTTTAATTGATCTATCGACCTAATTAAAATAAAAGGTGACAAAGTGCATTTAAAATTATACTTTTTCTCTGTATAAAATCATTTTCCTTGAGAGAAAAACTTATGCTAGTTTTCATTGTTAATGCTTATTCAATTTTATTTTCTAAGACGCTGCGAGCTAAAATTATTAAAAACAAAGCTGATTGTCGAAAATTGTTTCCGTCTTTCAAATATTATTTTCTTGTAAAAATTAGAAATAATATTTAAACAAAAAATAAACTACTTGGTTAACTTTAGCATTCATTCGTAGAACGTTAATTTTTCTGATAAAATGTTGATTTTTCTGATATCAAGTTAGCTTTGATATTATTGTATTATTCTATGACGTTAGGAGTTAAATGCTACTTTTTTTCTATGCAGCCTGGATGAAATTCAAATAACTGTCGAAATTAAAATGCCAATTTTTCTCTTTGCTATTTTTAAATATTCCGGAGATTTTTTTTTTTTTTTTTTCGATTTTTTATTTTTGAAGAAAGCTGAATTTTTTTTTTTAAGTTATATTTTTACCTCTCGACTTTTTTTGTTAGTATGTTTAATATTCACATCACACTAATAAAAAAGGTAAATAAATTAATCCACTATAAATAAATAATATGCATTAAATTTTCAGAAATATATTTTATTTGTAGAATTTCTTTCTGTTGAATACTTTATATAAAATGTTCAAAAAAATTCATATGAATTTTGTCTTTGGCAGAGTCAGTCATTCAAATATGGAAGAATGGCAAAGAACCGTTTCAGAAAAATTTATTTTTATCCCAAGTCTAATCCTGAAAATGCTCAATCCTTACCGAAAGCAGATGTAAGTAGGGGTTTTCTATTATTTAAAATTACCTGTATTTTGAGTCTATGTTTTTGCATGAAAAGTTTCGTTCATACTGAGACTCAGCTAATAACCACAGACGTTCTTTCTTTCGACGTCAGGATTCTATTTATCGTTCATCACAGGGACTGGGTACGAGGGAAAAATTAAAAAAATCACTAAGACATGAAATCAATTTTACTTAATATTTATTCAAAAATTTAAATATTCCGCTCTATCCTTTTTATCTTTGATCATTCAAACCTGTAAAGACGCTGTTATTCATGTGAACATGTTAGGCCTTGTTTGACTCCTGTTTTTCGTTAGTAAAATACACATCTATACATCATGTTTGAGACGTTTATACATATAGAAAGATTTAATATCAAAGAATTTTGTTGTACTAGTTTGGTAGATAATGAAAGTTCTTGTAATGTGGTTTTGAAATGTTTCTATTGTTTGTGTTTTGTCGTGGTGAATGAATGAATTTTTTGCAAATGATATGTCTATTATTAAAAGGTTTTAAACTTATCAGTGGTCTTTATTTTTTCAATCCACGATTTTTTCTTTTTGAGGCCAATAAAAATAGGAAACTCTAAATTTCCCGCCAGTAGGGAGGTTTTTTCTTTGGAATCATGGGAATTAGGTTTTTGATTTTTGTTTTTTTTTTTATTTATCGCGATTGAGATCAACAAACACAGCAGTACGATGGGAGATATAGACATATTGTGATACGGAAAAAAGGCATTCAAATGTTAAGCGCCACATAAACCCTTAAAGATTATCATAATCCAGATTAAGATAGGCAAGCAAAATAATGAACAAATACAAAATTAAAGTCTGAAGATTCAATTTGGTTTTTAGTGAAGTTGATTTAAGTTTTAAAATAGGAACAGTGAGTTTGGCGAATAGAATGAAAATGATCGAAATAAGAATATAAATGAAGTGAAATCAGTAATGACTTTGGAATATCAAGACATACTGTTCAAGATACCCAGAAGAAGTGTGCTGAAGTTGAGACTTTGGGGATTTTTTAAATGTCCAGAAGATCTTAAAACTTAGACGAAATGGTTCAAAGATAGCTAGTGAGGTTATCAGTATCCAACCTCCAAAAAACAGCTGGACAAGAATTGGATGAAATCAGTATTAATATTGAAGTCATAATTCAATAATAAGTCAATTAAGAATACTACATAAAAAAACATCTAAATTACAACAAAATGTATCGTTCTCGCTGAATCCCTTCTGGATACTCATCACTTACAGTCCTAAATGCCTACAGATACTAATGCTGAAAATACATAGTCGAATTCTTTAAGATTCTTAGTAAATATTAAGCAAGTTATTTTTTTTTTTTACTTTGGTGTTATTTTTTACCTGCCAATATATATTTGTAGAACTTTTTTGTATCCAGATCGTATTGCGCGTGATGGCATGTAACTGAGCACACACACACACACACACACACACACACACACGTTGAATTTCTTATTTTCGACCCGTGTTTCAACCTTGACAGACTTTTTCATCAAACAGGGTTTTATTTTTGCAACAAGTATTCATAAAATGCATAAGAAATAAAATCAACCACAATTTTAATCATTTAACTTCGGAGGAAAATTCTTGAGAGTGCCGCTATCGAATCTTATCAAAATATAAATCTGCACCTCGGATTTTTTCAAATATTTCCATTCATGACTATAAAAATGTTCAAAAATTAAAAGATAATTAAATTCATAACCTCATGTTATTTAATATAATACATAAATTAATCTCAAGCTAAAATAATGTAAATATTAATTAAAATTCAACATCAACATCATTTAATCATTTTCGTTTATTAGACAATAAATTATGTCACTTAGCATCGTCCATAATTTACCTAGACTTTTCAGTGAATCTGATGAATATTTATGAGCGTCTCTTAAATTTAAAAATTTTGAAAGAATGAAATATTCTGACTTTTGTTTATAAATACTTGTTGCAAAATAAAATCCTTACATTTACCTTGATTAAGTCCACCAGAGATCAAAACACATTGGCTAAGATAGCGTTTTCCTTTTGTCTTTATTCATATATTCCTTTCACAAAAAGAAAAACCCATCAGAAAACCTGTCTGGTTTTAGAAAGTTGAGTTTGATTTTCAACGAGACTTCGTTGAATTTCGGAGTCTTCATTAGTAAAACGTCTGTAGTCTTTATATATATATATATATATATATATATATATATATATATATAGTATTTCACTATACGAAGTATTATTAGTACGCGTATTATTAGTAGAAGACCTCTGACACTAGTATTGTTCAACGGCGTACTATAATTGGTATCTGCGATTAAAAAATCTCTGTTACGTTGGCATTGACGAAGTATCAAGCGAGTACGTTGGCAACAAAGGGGCGTTTTGAAGACATATATATATATATATATATATAGGTAATGTATAATAAATTGGACAAAGTGGAAAACTTTGTTCTTAAGTCAGTAAAACAGTTTCCTACGTTGTCAAATTAATAAAATTTGTCTGGATGCTATATCCTATTCATACGCACATTGTCGACATGGAAAACACAAAGACATACTTAAAATATATGAATCTTTTACTTTCAACTCATTTTGGATGTTCGAGAAATTTATGTATTTCTCCGACGGGAATCGAACCTATAACCCAAAAGGGAAGAAGATTTCTCAAACATTCAGGCCGGTAAATGTAATTAATACTGTTTATTTAAAAACAGAGCACTTACTTAAATAATTTGTATCTATTAAAAAATAACGTATAAACAGAAAAAGTATATATATATGTGTGTGTGTGTATGTATCAAGTCAGGGAACCTCGACGTGGTGTAATGGTTAGAAAGCTTGTTTTGCTAGATCAATTACGACTGAGTAGTGAGTTCGGTCCTCACTGGGTGCCCCATACTTTTGACCTGTGCTACATCTAAGCCGCGCTTAGAAAATCACTATATCAGGTCATCCTGTAAGTTCTTTCCGGATTTTGAAAAATAAAGAACGAGTAATCAAATGTTATATTTTATTGAAATTTATTCATTTATATACTTTCCATTATTATCTATGATTTCCTTCCATCTGCTTACAAGATTTTTAATCTCACTAATAAAGAACTCTTTCGATTTCGAAGAGAAGAACACTGAAATGTCAGTTTCGACCTCCTCATGGTTTTTGAAAGTTAATCCATTCAAATGATTCTGTAAGCTACGGAACAAATGATAGTCTGAAGGAGACAAGATGAGGAATTCATTCCAAACCAAGTTCTTCAATCTTCTGGGATGTGAATTTGCAGTGTGATTTTGTGCATCGACCTGAGGAAGTACCACACCTTTTCGATTCACTAAAACAGGTCTTCTTTTTTTTTTAAAGTCGCATACAAACGCTCTAATTGCTGATAGTAGTGCATTAGTTGGTAGCAACTCAAAGTGAATTATTCTTTTGCAATACCACCAAATTGAGAGAAGAAACTTTTGCGCACGCAATTCCTTTCTTGGTTGTAATTGGGCCTTTCTCCATTACCAAGACACTGTCTATGACTGAACATTTTGAAAAAAAAAAATCCATTTTTCATCACCAGTTACAAGTCAATCCAATAAGGGCGAGATGAGTTCACGAGAATGAAGAGAAGAGCAAATGGGATTTTCAGTTGACTTCAGATAATACATGAGGCACCCATTTTCCATGTTTATGAACCTTTCCAAGTTGTTGAAGATGGCGATGAACAGTTGTATGGTTTCATTGCCAATTCTTCAACTGATACTGCAGGATTTTCTTCAAGTTATACCACAAGTAACTTATCATCAAACTGAACTGGAGGCCCTGATCGGTTTTCATCTTCAAGGCTGAAATTTCCTCTTCTGAATTTGTCAAACCAGATTCATCAAGTTCTTTCATTCAGGCATTCTTCTCCGTCAGATGAGTGAATATTTTGAGTTGCTTCGGCTACAGATTTGTCTTATTTTAAACTCTTAAAGCATTAAATGCTCCTTCGACACCTCCATCTTTGAAGGGATAATTTGAGTAATTAATTTAGTCAAATTATTCTGTAAAAAGAAATTATATTAAGTTAAAGGTTTCTAAATTCATATGATTATCAGTGTCATTTGACATTTTACAATACTGGAAAATTTGATTGAAATAACATATAATATTTCGGACAGAACTTATGGGCTGACTATATATATATATATATATATATATATATATATATATACAAGTATATGATTGGTGTATATGGAATGAATTCCAATAACCAACAATTACTATTCTTAAAAGTGTGCTCAATACAAAGTAGAGCAGATATAATTATTTATTTTAAAAAAATTATAACATAAATATGTTATAAAATCACTACAAAAATAGCCATTTTGTTTCAACACCCTCGGTGTCTTATCAAGTGATGATGTCGAATGTAAAATAAATGGTTTTAAAAGTTTCAAATTAATTAACAATCCTTCGCAAGGGGAAAACCTTGTTACAAAAGCTAGATTGACCAATCAAAATACAAGTATAGAAAAATTCAAAAAGCTTGAAAACGAAGTCATGTTATAATAGCTATTCAGATTTTTAAAATATGGGTAATATTAAAAAAGAATTTATTCTAACCAATAATTACTAAATTATATGATAAAATTTAATATTAAAATTAAAAACTGCTAATTTCAAAATCCAAATTAATGTAATTCTGCATGTCTCTGCACAAGCTGTGATGACATCCAAAGTTGGCTGTATGCGAATACACCGGGACTCGCTACGTTCCACAGATTTGCCTCGATTATGGCCGTGACTGACGTCATCCAAGAAATAATGGAAAAAAAATATATACGATTTCTCAGTTAATCGACAATTTCTTTCTTCTGCTATGAGAAAGTGATTTTTTTTATTATCTGACTTCTCGCCTGTCTTCTGTCCACTGAAAATAGATCCCTACATTCTCACTGCTGGTCGTTTCACTGACTGACCATTACATGGATACTGGCTGACGGACACAATACCTCTTTCCGTCCACTCGTGTTCCACCAACCGGAAAGGGGGACCACCCAAACAGGTTTTGGGTGGTCAGTCTTTCAAAGGAACTTACTTTATTGATCTAAAAACACTAAAAAAACTTTATGTTTAACGATTCAAAGGACGGCTGGAGTTAGGATTCCTAAAAAAATTCTGATCATTAAATTTACTCAAAGATGGGCTGGAGACAAGATTCCTGATAAATTCTGGTCAATAAATTTGCTGAAAAGGATGCACTGTTACCTATATTTCTAGTAGGGTTCATTCAATCTAAGAATTACGTATGTGATGACGTGGCATAGCATATACTAAAAGAACAGAAATTACGAAAATATTGAATAGTCTCAAATACGTTGCCACATCAAAAGAAAAAAATCAAAAGAAACCATGGTATCATGGGTAGGTTTTATTAAGCAAGTACATTAACCCTTTCATTCACTCTAAGAATTATGTACATGATGACATGAAATGCTAAAAGCCGACAGAGAAAGTAAGAAGATGCTGAATTGTCTTTAATACGTTTCATATGTAAAGGGATATAGAAAATCAGATAAAGCGTGATTAAGTTGTTATTTCTCATTCTGTACCTTACTCCATTGATGTGTTTTTGATGAATTAAACGATTCTATCATTTTTCTGTTTGTCTACAGATAGATGCAATGTTCGCCGCGGCATTTGCAGAGCCAACCTTCTTTTTCTACAGTACAAGAAAGGGAAACTTTGAGGACCTACAAAAGAAAATAATATGTTTTGCCAATGATCAATAAAAATATTTATCTATCTATTTATCACAGGATGTGTCATATCTGTCTCAGTTTGTTCCGATCTGTCTATTCTGTATTTTGGTTAGTGTCTCTCCCTCTCTTTCTTCTTGTGCATCTCCCTCTATCTTATCATGCAAATTTCTGACTGTCGATTTCTTTCTTTCTCCCTCTCTTTCTCTCTCTTGTTTAGTTAATACTTCTCACTGTATGTGTACCTACATTAATATATTTCTCTCTCTCTCTCTCTCTCTCTCTCTCTCTCTCTCTCTCTCTCTATTTGGGTAAATGATCTCGACAGAGTTATACATTAAATTACAATTGCAAAAAACGTTCATTAAAGTATAATGTTTCAAAAAAAATATCTGATAATGCATGATGATGAAACCCAAAATGGACAAAATGCATTATCGGGCATTTTTTCGAAACATTATATATTCATGAACACTTTTTCCTATCTATCTATCTATCTATCTATCTATCTATCTATCTAATGAAATAATTTACTTGAATAATATTTTTTTAAAAATAACAGTTTAAAACTTGAAACATTAATTTATATGGGAAATGAAAACGTCTCGACTGGCAGGATTTCAAAATCGGTTTTCTGATGTTTGGACTCTGGGCTTTTGGTGAAGGTCGAGACAGTTTCATCATCTTCTCCTATGTTTTAAACTTTGTTTAATTTAATAATTGAAAAATATATTTATTTTTGGAAAATTTTGGACAAAATCATCACACAGTATTGAATTTTTATTCTATCACCAGCAAAATATTTATATTTTGAATGTCATATATACACTAATTTGATTGTCACAGAATTTGAATTTGGGGCGAGAGGAGTATCATAGCGGATATAAGCAAGATGAAGTTGCATTTATGTTTGGAGGTGAATATCCTTTGGAGGTGTATCATAGATTATAATAAGCAAGATGAAGTTGCAATTATGTTTGGAGGTGAATGTCCCTTGGAGGTGTAACATAGCGAATTTTGAAAGTTTTATTCGAAGCAAATTTTTTATAAAATTCTTTTGAATATTTGTTTTTTTTATTGTACGTTTCGTATTAATTTAATGACTTCTTTCATTTTTTTTTTCTGAAAAAATTTGATTAGAATTATTTGAACATTTATTCCTTATTACTAAATAAAATAATTTACATTATTGTCCATAATTTTGCATTATTTTCAAATTTTTGGTTTTTTTTTTGTCTTCTGTATTCTCATTTGAAATAAAAATGTTGCCTTCCAAACAAAGAGTTATTTTTTCTACATTTTATATTATAGATAAGGTTTTTCGTTCCACGTGATATTTGGACGAGTATCCTCATTGTTGTTATTTTCAACATATCCTTTATGTCTGGCGATGACTTCTTCACAGTTTCTCAAAGCTATTTTTCATCTTGTCTATGGATGTATGAAATGACGTAACAGTTATTTTGTAAAACAGAATCCGCGAACTGAGTTCGAAACAACTTTTTCATTAATTTTAAAATATTTAACATTAATGCAAAAATTGTAAAAAAAAAAAAAAAAATAAAAATAAAATTTTAGTTACCATGAAATTACCAACCAATGAATCAATCAATCTAATGTATTCTAAAATTTATCCCATAGCTAAGCCTGAGAAGTGAAGGAGTCATATCTTTCTCAAGGGTATTGCGCGTAAGTGAATGTAATGAACGCAACTGGAGTTCGAACTGGGATCACTGATTTCCTATTTGTATTACGCCACCTACATCCACCATACGTAGACCAAAACTAAAAGGTCAGTTCGATAAAGAATTTCTTAACCATTCCTTCGTTTTTTCTTCTTCTCCTTCTTCTATGTGCGATGTCTTTTCAGAACGTTGGCGATCATGCCTCTCCACCGTTTCCTGTCTATTGTGGCTTTTAATAACTTTTATCTTTTGCCATCTCTCTCATAAGAGTTGCTTTCCTCTGTCTCTTTTACCTTCATTCTGTCCTGTGAGTATCAAATTTTCCAAGCCCTCTTACCTCATTATATGCCCCAGAAATTTCAACCGTAAGTATGAGTCCTTTTTCTAGAATTTAGTCATTGCTCATATGTTAGATCCATAGTATTCTCAATATCCTTCAGTAGAACCACATTTCTGTTAATTTAAGTCTCTTCTTCATGTGTGAGAAGATTGTTCATCATTCACTGCTATATAGGAGGGTCTGATATTACATAACAGTTCAGTACTCGATTCTTTTTAATGATATTTTTTTGTTTCTTAATACTTTGCTCAGTTTTTGGAAAGCATCTTTTGCTATCCCAATGTGCCTCCAGGATCCTGTATCGCACGTTACGTCCTCTATTATTACGCTTCCCAGATACCGAACTTGCTTACTGATAGGGGAAAAATATCACATTTTGTTGTAGTTGTGGTTGTACTCATTTGAACACATAATTTTAACTTTTATACATTTTATTTTCTATTGGGTAACAATGCAAATCCTGTTGCAAGTCGGAGTCACTTGAAAAGTGCTTGTTTCTGAAGGCTCAATTTTCATGTGCGTTTAGTTAAAGCTGATATTTTTCAGTTGAGTCTAGCGTTTCATACAATGGGGAGGTCAAAATAGATGGAGAGGTCTCTGGCGTTACTGCAACTGTATAACTTTGAGTATATTGTTCTGCTAAATATGGTCCTCTTTCCTCGTCATAAGCCTGTTATTATGTTAAGATACTGTTTTCGGGTATTCTTTGTAGGATATATGTGGACCAAAGCCCATTTATGATGGCATTTCGAATCAATTCAACTCGATACTGTCCCATTGATGCCGAAGAAAATGAACAGTCCTTACTTAGTTTTATCAAGGCTTGGTAAAATCCATCAATGGAGTCTGAGAGCAGTTGATGTTTTGTATCCAGTAATATCTAGATACCTTTCCATTTTTCTTTTTAATATAGATCCTGTCCAGTATACTTTGTCGGAAGATTTGACCACAAAATACTCGTAAACTTGTGCTGGGACATATTTGGTGATAAAGTGTAGCTTATTAGAACTTTGGTCGCAGTACGTGCTCAAGAAGTTCATGAATAATATTATTCAATAATAATTTTCCCTGGGCAGAGTAAATTAGCCATTTTCAAAATGTTTAACAACAAAAGTATATAAAAATTATAGTAGAATTGTTCTAGACAATCCATAGGCCGGTTATTTTACCTGGGGCATTCCGAGCCGGTTATTTTACGTGGGGCATTCCGAGCTCATAGACTCGGGCAAAAATTCCTCGGAGAGTTCGAATACGCAGAATCAGGTTGCTTCCTACCTCCATAGCCTTATCTGGATCTTCTCTGTCCAGAGGCAGAAAGGTCAAAAAACAGAGCCCTTCGGCAGAGCCTTGTCTGGGTTCCTCCCTTCCAAATGGCAGAGAGACCAACATGCTGATAAACTCTGCATACCAGAAGAGTTCGCCTTAATATATGAGTTCAGGACAGATCTATTAATGGAGAAAATGGATCATACTGCAGTACGTAGTACTAGGTATCTCCACAAATTTGCCGAAAAAACAACATTATTAATTGGACGATGTGAATGAAGTTAATCTTGCGATGTGATCGCTATTCTCATTATGACTTGACCAGATTCTTTCAGTATCAGCTCAAGATGAAGATTACAACTGATAGAAAGCGGTTGGTATCGGCAGATTTCAACAAAAGGTGGGTAACTGTAGCTAGTCAGAGGCTGGCTTGATTTTCTTTTTTTAATTCCCTCTAATTCATAACGTGGTGGTTTCCTGATGAGCCCTTCACTGGTTAAGACGTTCCAAGTGTACCTAGTTAATATGAGTATGAGTAAGTGTTGTCCCCGGCTTCTGCTTTTGTTAAAATTCATGTCATGGTTTCCAACCTCTCCAGTTTGCATTAGCCCACCCTTTTCATCTTGACTGGGTCAGTTTTTGGATTTTCTAATGCCCATAATTGTTTATGCTTTCCCTCTCCCTTAGTGAGAGAACCTCTTGATTTTGTTGGTAGACAGAATACAGCGGTCACTCTTATTTTTGCGGGGTGGATGGGTCCTACTAACATTATTCCATCTTTTTCGGGGTCATCATTCTCCACATCATTTTTTATTTATAATATATTATATATATATATATATATATATATATATATATATTATACACAATTGTACATATTGGGATTTTTAACTCATAGGAGTTTTTTTCCTAGTAGGTGCCTAGTGTGTGTGAAGTATTTTGGTGTATGTAGGAGCGAATGTTGACGGATAAATTCTTATGGTAAATCCTATCTTGTAATCAATGAATTGGTCGTGACTCTGATTAGCTAGGTATAAGAAAGCTAGTGGTGACCAACCTTGACCAGTCTCCCCACTTTTTTTTTAGCCTTGTATTACAATTACTGTATCAGTAATAAGTTTTAGACAAAATTTATTACGAGATACAAAGGACGGGAAATTGTGGAGAGCCATAATCAGCTACACCCTAAATAGGCACGGCATAGAGGAAACTTATGATGTAAGGGAGACAATCCAGAATAGAAATAATCCATAATAATTCTGATATTTTAATGAACTAAGGGAGACAATCCTCACCCATTTATATCTTGGTGGTGGTGTTCAGTTACTTTAATGATGTAAGAGAGGTAATCCAGTTTTCATTCAGATATTTTAATGAACTAAGGGAGACAACCTAATATATCGCTATCCGCCCCAACATATGATAAGGCAAGGGTTTCTTTTAAAATAAACGGTGTGTGTGTGTGTATGTGTGTGTGTGTGTGTGTGTGTGTGTTTGGCTGTTTGGTTCTTTTTGCTTTTTCTCATATGAATAAAGCGTCAAAAAGTTAGAAACGGACCCTTTTGATATACCCACCAGCATCCAGTGACAAGCTAGGCTCCAGAACTGCAATAAAGGTCAAGTGACAAGAAGTGTATTGAGTGAGTGGTCAGCAGACATATCTTCCATGTATAACGACTGACCAATCTAAAATCAGAGATAACCTTTTTATCTCACATTTTGCTATTTGACCCAGGTTGTGTGTGTGTGTGTGTGTGTGTGTGTGTGTGTGTGTGTGTGTGTGTGTGTGTGTGTGTGTGTGTGTTTTTATATATGGGATCGGATTTCCTACATTTTTCAACTGATTTCAACAAAACTTCACTTTTTTTGGCAGGTTGTGTTTCTTATTGTCTTGCACACTTTTTTCTTTATTTTTACATTCAGAATGATTTAAAAATTCCATTTACAAGACAATTGTTTATAATAAAATTCTATTCAATCGGTAGACTCATAGTGATTGAAAACAATTTTTTGTTTGAAT